TTTGTGAAATGTTGCAGCATTACATTGAACTAAAAAAGCTGAAGAAATATTCTTGTAGTTTGCTTATAGGCCCTAAGAAACTTACCGAGGTTCGTTATGGGTAGGCCTATACACTCTAAAAACACCTGGGTCTGAATTGACCCAGAATCTGCACAGTCCCTTTCCGGGTCTTTGTCTGGTCCGAAAATGAAACTTTTGCGGGTCAAAAATTACATTTTTTCTGGATCATTTTGACCCAGAAATATGCCTTCTTACCCTGTCGTGAGTTGGCGATTAGGACGGTCCATGCATCATTGTCAGAATCAATCGTCTTAAGGTTGTATAACTAAGTACATGTAGCTGCATGCATGCTTATTTTAAATATTTTGCCCAGGTTTCTGTCACATATACCTGTTTCTTGAGTGCACAAAAATCAGGTTTTGCTTGAAAATTCTATATTTGTAATTTTGTGTAAGTTGTTAAAAAATCCAGACTTTTCTTGAGCCAAGTGCATCAGGGTGTCGTTGTTGGCGAGATTCAGTCATTGACTTTTTTCTCCCTGTGGTTTCGTTTGAAGAAAATTGAAGGATTACTTAGATGTGGAACAACATTTGGGAACCCAAATATATGCAACATTCAACTTTCTTATTTTCAATTTCTGTATGCCCACGAGTACCTTTTTCTATATTTGGTGAGTATATATACCAAAATCAGTTTTTATCTTGTAGTGTCTAAGACGATAGGTAGGCATATTGTCTTAGAAATATTCCTTGGCTTCCCGTTCATTGCTCTTGAATACTGACAGATGTGAAAGGTTGTCTTCGGGGTCTATTTTCAATGAATCTGTTTTAGTCGAGGTATTCGGGAAAAATGAACAGTTTTCATTTGCGTGGTGCAATAATGCCCAAAAGCTCAATGAAGCGGATGATGAATGCTTCATGTATATCACATCAAAGAAAACTTGAACACATAAAGACTTTCTTCTTCAAGGTTTCCACATCAACACGTCACATCGACAGAGTTCCGAGGAAATTCTCCCCGTCTTCATCATAAAAAGTCACATCTTCTCCTTCAAAAGTCTCCTTCAGAATCGTGTGCAAGGTGAAATTGTTAGTTTATACCCGGCTGAATAAATCTTTTTCTGATCGGTGTTCTCTGACTCATATGATTATAAAAAAATCCAACGGTCTTCATTACCGATGTTGGAGATAAACTTAAAGTCTAAAAGTCAGGATTCACAAGAATACAGTCTTCAAAAAGTGTTTACATTTCAAGATGCCAAGTAAAAAGTGTTCGGATTTCAAGACGTCAAGACCACGCCACTTAATATCAAGAATCTGGAAAAGACTTCACAGAACTAGTCAGGTCGCATGCCCACACCAAGGTGGTTTCGTCTTCGATACGTCTGTTCTGCAGAGAAATTCCATCAACAAATTGAACTTGCCACCGGAGTGCAACTCCTCTTCATCATCGACACCATTAGCAAAGTCAGTTCCCACAGTTCTGTAACCATGAACTCTTCATAATGTTTAACTCGTTGCAATATTCATCTCGGTCCAAGGATCTCAATTTTATGGATTTTAAACAAGACTTGATTGCGGCAGATGTACTACTGAGGAATTTGTGACAGTGGCGTGAAGAAAGCGACTTTGGTTGTCTGAGTGTGTGGCTAGTTGTAATAAGTGGGGAAATGGGAAGTATGACCTTAAATACCTTTTATAAATCGTCTTTAACACGAATGATTCATGGGATACAAAAGTCTATGAGAACAAAAAATAGGTATCTTCAAACAAAAATGCATAACTCAATAAACAAATAAAATAGAATATTTCTTCTCAGTGCATTGTCACGAGTTGCAGATTAGGACGGCCCAGGTTTTGTTTTTATTGTAAATTTGAATGATTTGCATTATTTGTGAATATGTATGGATATAAGTAATAACCCCGTCTCGAGTGCCGGTATTCACCTGAAAAAGTATTTAGCCGTGAGCTGTTTTCATGACTGTCTCGATATCGGCGATCGATCATGGCTTATGCCCTTATGGAAAAATCGACAGAAGTGAGAAACTGGTGGATCAGTGAAGGTTACGTTTAATTTACTTTAATTACTTGTAAACAGTTGTAGGCCTACAAGTAGTATTAACGCCAAAGCATCGATTTTGATCGTATGGGGTATTGACAATGACGAAGGAATCCCGTCGGTAAAATTTAATTCATCTTTCAATTAATCGTATTTACGATATCAACGATTAATCATAGCTGTTAGATGGGCCTGAGGGCAATCAATGAAAATGGGTGTAGGCCTATAACGGCTCAGCAAAGTAAAATTGTGTTTACTATTATGTTTTACCAATGTTGAAAAAGTATTGATTTCAAGTGAGTATTTTAAACAATCGCGAACGACGTGTTCAATATAAAATTAAATAATGACTGTATTTACGTTATAGACTAATCGATTATAGATTGTTGATCGGTCCTATAGGTGACGATCAAATGAACATGACCGACAAAATGGATCCATTGATTGTGTATGTGTTGAATGATGGTAGTAACGAATTATCAATCACTGAATATACAAGAATCATCGTGAAAGGTTAATAATAATTTGCTCGACGTGATTTTGTGAAGTAGTTTTTTAGTAACAATGGTGTGGAAAGGGACGGCTGTAAGGGGAGACGGGAGGCCGTTTTTTTAATTCGTAAAGTATTTTATAGGTATATGATGCTCGATTGGAGTTGTTGAATTGATCCGTTTACCAAGGAATACGATCTATTAGGACGGTCACGTTTTTTGTGGTTTGTTACACAAAACGTTGTGATTTAATGATCGATAATCGAGCATGTGGCGTATCCAGCTTTGGATGTGGGGGGGGGGGGGGCAGCCGCACATCCGCGCCGAAATGTAGACATTTTTTTTTATCCAGACACCGCTTCCCTAAAATCAAAAAGCGGGTGGGGGGGGGGGGGGGGAACTGGGGGGGGGGGGGGGGGCTGGTATCCACCTTCCGAATGGGGGCGCTCTTCAAATACTGCAAATTATTTTCACGGCGCATTGTAATGTTTTTTGCGGGTTTTCGGAGTGCCCCCTCTGCCCCCCTCCCCTCTGGATACGCCACTGAATCGAGCATACCTACAATATTTTCCTGTTCAAAAGTTTGTGTATCAGTAAAATGAATGAAGGGTATAAAGTCTCAGTGATTGATTACGAATAGGTTTTGTAATATAATCAATCTCTGAAGGCTACTTAAATCTTTTAAACAAACGTTCGCTACAGTCTTGTCAATAGGCCTTTAGGCCTATTCTTGAGTTAAATTTTAAGTTTTACAATATCGACGCCGGAACGATCATGACTTCACGTGTATACAGGCCCCATCGAGGATAGTTGGTAATGAAAGTCAATATGGATTGAGTCAAAATGTGTGTAATAACAACTTGATTGTAGCAAAATTGTCGATTTAAAAAAAAAGTTTTTTTACTTACTACACGACGGTATAGGGAAAACGGTATTGAAATAATGTGCGTATCAAAAGAGAGCATCTGAAACGGCTATAACACAATTTGACAGGGACTAGGTAATATTTCACGAAAAGTTTGGGTTTTTTGGTCCATCGATCAATAAGCGATATGTAGCATGCATAACAATCACCAAGGGTTATTGATTATTTGGTGATTGATAAATAACTGGTAACGTTTTTGTAATTGATCTTCCAGAAATGGTCAACCGAAAATATGAACATGTGTATATTGTCGAAAGTGTTGTGTAGCAACGGAAATGTAATTCGGTTTTTTTTTATTTGTGAATGAGTGACACGAACGCGTTTATTAAATAATGCAATGGCGTTTTATAATGGCGACGTATTAAACTAACAAATTGGAGGATCAAACTATATTGATAAGCCACGATTCTCTTACGTGTGTAAAAAAAATGGTGACCATTTAAAATTGTTAAAATCGCAGGGGGAAAGAAAATTGATAAAAGTATCGCGTCGAACGGAAGCCACACGTGCTTATGTGATATGGTGCTCAACAGTAGAAATATGGTGAATGGTAAATCAGAGCCTCTTACCACTATAAAGTAAACGTTTTCCATGCCTGTTGATTGAAACTTATTGCTATTGGTCACGGAAGCACGAGTGATCATCTGTATTATGAATTGATTATTATTTTCTTTGTGCGAAGTATTTAGTCACATGATCTAGTGACGGAGTAATTGTTGAATAGTTTATTAATTGTAATTTGATTGACAATGGTGTGGAAAGGATGGCTGCAACGGGAGATGGGAGGCCGTTTTAAAAATGTATTACTACTTTTATTATTATAGGCCTACTTCATGAAGCTGGTACGTGAATGTATCATCTGAACCATCTTTTTTTTTCTCGGTATAAATTTGTCACATGCCAGAAATCTTGTTACAAAAATAAAAAATCCTTTCTTGGTTGAAAGCCTATTTATGTGCATTTCTTTCATAAAGTGCGCATGGTTTTTCATACATTTAAATTAGTTTTCCTTTTTGGAACGAAAATTCCATGTGAAGAGTCCTGCCTCACCAAGGCTATCCTGAAAAGCGCCACCAGCGAACTACTTTTGTTGTTTACAAGAGAAGGGTCTACGAACTTTGTTGACGATAATATCTAAATATAGACAGCACGCTACAAATGACGTCGCTCGTATTGTACACCAATCAAAGCTGACTCTTCACGTGAACATTCTACAGTTATCCAATCACAACAGAGAAATAATGGCTCTCTCTGACGTCGGGATACTTTCTGATGCAATTTCGCTGACGTTGTATGTGGTGAATAACGCAGGGTTGGCTTAAATTCATCCGCAGAAAGTAGCCCACGTACATGCTGTTTAAAAAAACAATTTCGTAAAATTGTCAGCTAAAATTAGTCAAGCAATATACAAATGATGATACTACCAGCCTTACTAAAATTACTTCTACGTTATTCAAGGAATTGTTGCTTGCAAACGCGGATGAATATAATGACATCATAGTGATTGGTCAATGGAGGCCAAGTACGGTCAGCTGCCCATGTCGCGTCGTAGCAGGTGTACATTTTTTACGCACAAAATTCCCATTCCCTTTTTAGCAAGACATGAGACAACAGGCGAAAAATACCCCTAGAAAACGACGACGAAAACGCGTCAAAATGGCTGTGTAGCGAAAAAACGCCCACCAAACCAACGTGCATATCCACAAGGATTGCACCAGACGACAATAATCATGGCGTGAGTACACAGATTATGTTGTTTTCTAAGGTTTTTAGGCCTAATATAATATGAATTTTGTAGTTACTTTAATTAATAATATTAATAATATCATCATGCTTATGATTCGCCGGCCATGTGCATGCCGGCCATTCGTTTCCCTCGCGCGCGCCGGTCATGCCGGCTGGACTGCCTCTTAAAAAAAAAAGATGAAAGTCCCCTGGACATTTTGTAAGGTAGTAATGGAAGTCCAACCAGGGCAGTGGTTTACAAATCTGTTGTGCTTTGAGTCTGTAGACCGGCAATCTGGCACGACAGGCCTCGCAGCCATGGCAGCTCAGCAACTCTGCCAACATATGGCCATGGGCTGGCATGCCATGGAAATGCACCCCCCCCCCAACCCGATCCCCTAGCCCTGTGGTCCCCAGGTAAGGGATTTACGGTCTGGAAAAGTCGCAATCTCCATTCGAGGGGCACTATAGTATTACTGAAGCCCGCTGAATGTTAAGGAATTTTTAAATTAAATTGCAATGACATGATCGAAAAGACCACCAGGCACCAAGCCTTATAAAAACTTAATAAAAAATAACCTAACCCTGAACATGCTGAAGGTGAGGCGGTAAGGGGCGTGGCAGTGGGGGGATGAGTGGCTTAGGGTAGAGGTGATGGATGGTATGTGGTCATTCATTTTAAATTCCTTGGCCATGGAGGAAAGACTGTATCCTGACATGATGCCACTTCTTTGGTTGTGTACAAAGTTTATGGAGAGCCGAGTGTTTTTTTTTCTTCAAATTTTTGGAAATGTTTTTCAAATTTTTGGAAAAATTGAAATGTTTCTTAGTCCCTGATTCATGTCTTTTCAACATTTTTGCAATAACTGACCTTCATTGAGATAATATATGATAAAAAAAAGTGGCATCAGGATGCAACAATCTTTCTACATTTTTGCGTACATCTGCTTTGATCATGATAATGTTATCCGAGGTGGAAACTAACGTGACTAAGTAATGTTATTTCTAAGCTTAAGTTGCTGAATTGAGATCATGGAAAAACGGGGGGAAAAAATTGATCAGGTGTTTCACGGTAATATGTGCGATTCCATATGCGCCATCTTGCCATTTGCACGGGGCAGTTATACACACCTTGCTGTGTACGAATCGTCAATGGAAAACTTTTTTGCCCCGTGAACAAGATGACACATATTACGGTGAAACACCTTTATTGGTAACGTGTTGTCACATGAAGTCAACTTAATGTGGTATACACTTTTGTCTTTTTCAGTTCTTTTGCATCATGCATCCTCAACAGCGCCCAGATCGGGTTGGCTCAAGAATTTTCCCAAATTCCGCAAGCATTTTCTTCTGGACAAGTAATCCAACAAGGACGACAAGATGTCTCTCTTCAATATGGAGTTGGATCCAATGGCCTCGCTGTTCAGCGAGGAGCCCGGCAGTCTCTGGGCTGCGGGGCAAAATGATTTCCTCAAGGGTCGGGGTTCGTCAGAGCTCGGGGGATCTACCGGCAGCCTGGCTGACGATTTGCTGGAGGAAATCAGCGGACAACATTTAGGAGGTGTGTTCCTTTGTTAAGACAATGAATATTGAAGGTCCAGAGAAGAGTTGTTTCATTAGGCGAAAAAAAAGTCTCCGGTTTCTGGTCTGCTAAAAAGTTATTTTACTGTAAGATGATATGTCTCAAAACCGCCAAACTCACTGGTTTAACTGGAATCCTGCAACAGCACAATTTTAACATGTTTTAAAATGGGGTTATTTAAGCTTTATGTGGTCTCTGGGTTCCCATATATTTTGCACTAAATTTAGTCGGGCAGACGGTGGTGCTATTTTTCTAATTGTGCGTCTGGAAGCCAGACTGAGGGAGTGATGGTCGTGTATATGGAACCTGTAAATGCTTTTTAATTTGGACAATATGTAAGGGAGCAGACTAATGACCAGCCTGGCAGCTCATGCATGATGACGATGTCGCTGTAGCTGTATGGTCTGACGTTACTGTTTTCTCTGATTTTTGTCTTGACTGTCCAAATTTCCGAAGAATTTTCGTGTTGGTCGAGATCGCAAGTGGGTGCGGAACTCTCAAGCCTTATGGCCTTACTGATGTCACCTCAAGCTCCACTCTGAAGCAAATTTTTGAGAGTTTTAAGGGGATCAAGCGTCACCTGCAATATCAGTCGACATTTGAAGAAGAAAAAAGTAGGGGAAAAATAGAAAAAACCCGCGTCGCCGCACCACTTTGGGGCAAGCTCCATACCAGAAACAGGAGACTTTTTTTTTGGCCTTAATTAAAATATGTATGTGGAGGTGTTTTCTTATGATTGTGCTGGCAGTTTTAAAAATAGTGGCATTGTACCTAAAACCTGTCTGGATAAAACTGTACACGTTAGCACAGTCATAAGCTGTCCTGTACTAGTAAATCTCTTACATTATAAAAAAGTGACTAATCACTTAAAATGGTAAATATCAGACGGTACTACTTGCTCTGGCATATATGTGTACAATGTACATGTAATCAAGAATATTTTGTAGGAAAAAAATTTCAACTTGTGACATCACAATAAGTTAAAAGACATCTTGTAACTTTCTTAAACTGTTTTTGTTTCCACCTTATGTAGGGGATTCCCTTTCTGATGAACTGCCTGAATGGATGTCCGAGAAGATTTCGCTGACTCAGTGGATAGATGCAGCGGACATCATGCCGTCTGACCTGCTGACCACTGTTCCCTTGTCATTCCCCAATGACAAGGGTACTTCCATTGAGCCAGCGGAGGAGCTGCTGCAAACTCTGATGGTGGATGATCGCATCCCTCCGCAACCTCCATCTCCAGGTGAGCAGCAGGCTCCAGATCTTGTAGCCCTGTCTCCAGCAGGATGCCTGTACTCCCTCGAATCCCCGATGTCCCCAGCCTCATCAACCTCCTCAAGCAGCATGGAGCCACCCAGCCCCGAGGCCGTCCCCCTGACAGCCGAAGAGCAGCTGTGGCAAATAGCTGAAGGACTGACAACCATCTACAACATACATGTAAGTCTGCCGGATCCGGAGGACAACCAGAGTGAGGTCCTCGACCCCCAGTCTGACCCCCAGTCTGACCCCGAGTCTAATCCTGCTCTCCCCCAGTCCCCAGCGGAATCGGAAGAGCAAGAAGAGCAGAAAGGCAAGCGGTCCACTCCTCAGAAGAAAGCCCGAGCGAAACCCAAGCTCAGGACTGTCAATGACCCTGCGATCAAGAAGAACAAGAAGAAGGATCAGAATAAAGTTGCTGCCACCAGGTATCGGCAGAAGAAGCGTGTAGAGGCCGATGGCCTGATGACTGAACAGGTGGAGCTTGAGGGGAAGAATAAAGATCTCAAGGATAAGGTTGATTCTCTCACCAGAGAGATCAAATACCTGAAAGACTTGATGACCGAAGTTTACAAGGTCAAGGGAGAGCTGAAGATTTTACGGAAGTAGCTCTGGTTGCTGTGTTGTCAGTCTGTAAATATGCCTTTTGCCATAGTTTTAGTTCTTTTGCTCGGTTTCTAGGAGCATTTGCAGCCTGACCCCTTTGGAATCTGCTGCAAATTCTCTTTTACACCGAGTATGCAAGTGTTAGCAAGTTGAATTTATTTCCTCAATTCTCAAATCTAAATTGTGTACGTGTACATACATGTATTTTGTTGCTAATCAGTGCTTATCAAGATTTTTCATTTAAATTAAAATGCTGAACTAAGTTTGCTTATCCTTTAAGTGGCATCCCCCGAGTAAAAGATGTAAGTATTTCTAAGACACATATTGGTTTATGCAGGTAGCAGATTTACCATCATTAGTTTGAGTAAGGTTTCACTCGTAAATTCTGGGCACATTGCGTCGACTTTCGTCTCGAATTGATCAGTGAAGTATTATTACGCAGATATTTATTATTTTTCTGAATTCTAAATTTGAATTGCAAGCTTTGATGATTGATTTCGAGCCTTGAAAGCGTTATTTGGGACCACTCTTCAAAAAAAAAATTCACAATTTTGCTGTACAGTATGTAATTGACACTTGCAGTCACTGTACACAACTATTTTGGTAAACAGGTGCTTGAAGCCTTGAACTGTTAACAGTACATTTATTTGGAAATGATCTCCATTTCAGGATCCTGTGAACCATGCCCACAAAATGCACAAATGCAGCAAAATTAAAGTGCTGATGCAGTGATTTTGAAATTTGACATCACTTGAAGTGGAGGTTTTAATGTTGTAACTATTCCCTTTGAGTGATGTTCACACCTATACACCGATCATCAACCAAACGTGCATCTGTTTTAAACTGTAAATAAAACATTACTAAAAGAGGCATTATCTAAAGAACCAAGTGGGATTTGTTGTTGTTTTTGTTAGAAAGTGATGAACACACTACTGTGCATTTTCTTTTTCTGAATAATTACTCGGTAGTGCTTAGGTGGACTCTAAGATGCTTTGGCTTGGTAATAAAAAGTATTGAAGTTATTGGAGAAAACTTGAGCTTTGTAATTTCAGTGCCTTTCTAGTGTCCTTTCAAACTTATTGGTCCCGAGAAGATTACCAATAAGATATCACTACCGTACTCTGGATGCATTATGAATCTATACATGTACATTGCTTGCATAAAGTACATGTACAAGTTACCTCGGCAGCAAATCCAGAACTAGGTTTTCAAGGGGGAGGGGTTATTTTTGCGGTTCATTGGTCACAAAGGGAATGGGATGAGCAGACTACTTCATTGATTTAACAACGATGATTTCATAACGACCATCTTTGCTCCTTGTGGTTCAATTATGAAAACAATAAAAAGGAGGACCTTTGAGTGGGGGTCATGGCCCAGGAAGTCCCCCCCCCCCCCCGAAAAAAAAAATCTGGTCAAAAGGTCACATCATCTGCGTTCAGTCCCCTCACGCCCACATGCATTATAATACACTGATCGAAGCCATTTTCACGACCCGGTGGGAGATGCAATAGAAATAAAGTCAACTCATAGACGTTTTATAATAGTGTATTTTAATATACCTGCCTGAAACTAAGTACATGAACAAAGTCAATGAGCGGAACCTTAAATGGTTGTAAATTTACACATATGTAAATGCACATGCTAACCGATCTATCGTACGATTTCGAATCTTTCATACAGTATACTTTGTATTCGTGGTAAAAATGACGAGGGCTGATGTGGGTCAGCATCATATATACTTTGTGGTTACATACATGTAAATCATTGATGCAAATCATGGACCCCAATGATTCTATCAAGGATATTGTTCTCCAATATTTAATGATAGAAGAATGGAGATGGTAGAGGGGAGAATTTGCCGCCTTGAACTATGAAGCTTTACAAAATACATGTACTCTCCCTGGTCCTTTTCTTTCAAAACAAAATAGACATCGGCAAAGGTTCTGATTGGGCCCAACGGAATTCTCCCCTGAACATGGTGTCTTCATGATTGTACATGTGGCTAAATATTCAACCGTTATACGAAAAATTAATTAGAATTCATGTTGTTGGTGTCCATAAGTAACTAGAGGGTTGGAGAGCGCCACCGCGGTATCAGATGGCCTCTCGATTTCAGTCGATTTGTAAAACTCCTTCCAAATGTCCACCTTCACACCAAAACGGCACCGAACGGCGAACATCTCGCACCCGTAAAACTGCATGTTGTACCACTCCATCCCAAGCTGCTCCTTAGCCGATTCGACTATTTTCTGAGCCGACTGGGGCGCTTGTTTCAAGACCCTGATGTGTTTGTAATTGTTGATTCGGACGAGTTTGGCGCAGTAATTCTCCCGCCCCAGCCCGGCAGCGCTCTGCAGCGATTCCCGTCTGATCCAGGGCTGCCGCACGTGAATGACAGTGCCCTCACCGACGTAGACTGCCCAGTGATTGAATGAGGAATGTGGGTGAAGGATTTCGATTAAATCCCCCGGCTCGCACTTGAGAAGAACCTTGTCCACGCTCGTAAAACGGTTCTGCACGTTCCCCATGCTGCATGTGCTTAAGGAATGTTTGCCGTTATACGTATTATTCAATTTTCACTGTGTCAGAAATAGGTTCGTGGGTCCTTGCTCCTTTTTTTTTCTAGCTCCATGCTCTACGGTGCATATCACCATCAACTGCAAGTTGTGCCGCAGAACCGGCCCCAAGTTCGGGCTAGGCCTTCGGGGTAGATTAAAGGTCAAATCACCCGCTGTTGTGGGTCATCGGAGTGGTAGTATGTAAACTTGTATCATGGTCAGATGTCAGAAATCGGGTATGCGATGTGAGATGGCATCTGTAAGGGACAATCAGTAAAATGTGTTTACTTAATATTCTCTAGCCATAATTCACACTGTATAAGAAACAATACATCAATGCTTATCTACAATCCTTATGCGCTTGCCGGTTTGCTAGCTGTTGTCTTTAACTTTGCCTGGTTTTATATTTATAGGCTTGACAAACAGCATGATATGCTGCTTGGAAATGAGCAAATAATTATATTGGGATAAAGAATGATATTCTTTCGGTTTTGATCTGGTCCAAGTCCCTTTTGTTTGAAGAATACAACCACTTATGTTATTTTGATACAGCAATATACTCAACATTAAATTTTTATTCAAACATGGCTTTAACTAGGACATTATTCAGTTGATCAAGTGTTCAGGATCGAATTAGGCCCATTCGGTTGATTTGTTTGCCTCGTGTATATACGATCGTTTTCATGATGGACAGCAGTCGCTCATGTCCCGTTGTGTGTGTACACAGTGACAATACCATACCCGAGCTAACGGGATATTCTGAGTGGAATAACATGTGATTAGGAAAACGCATGGTGTGGTATTTTGCCAAAACACGGGGCTATACTGATCAGTGAAGATTGTAATGTACGTATGTCAACCGAGGAAATCAAGATGAACATGTATTTATAAATAGGGCCTATGAACGTTATTGTTTGAACATTCCTCAATGATTAAAATGGGTGCCCCATGTACTCATAATACCCGGCGCCCGCCGATAAACTTGACATGATATTGACTTTTTAAAAATATTTATCTACATCATGGTCACCATGAAGAAAGGAACTGAGTTTCCGCCTAGTATTATTACCCCAAGCGAAATGTCATCCAGTCCTTTTACAGTGATGAACATTTTATTAGGCTGACCGGTATTATTACTCGCTCGTTAATTGGTCACATGGAATTTCACTTGAGCGTTTGTTGGCCTTCTTGCTCTATGGTTAGACCATGGTTAGACCATGGAGGAATAATGTAGACGGGGCGTTGTTCACTTTCTGACCTACCTTAAGAGTTCACTTCGGGCTTGCTGTTGACGATATATTCATGTACATGTACTGCCTTTAGTTTCCCGTCCCCATGTTCAACAGTTTACCAAAATAGCTAACAGGGTTATCATAACACAAGTGTTGTGCAAGGACAACTGTACCTACCATGAAGATGGGTTGTCTGGATTGCCTCCGGTAGCGCGACGCGAGTGGGCAAACCCGAGGCATGTATGCACCGCCAGCAGAGAGGTTTGGCCCCGTGCGATTGACCGCCCTGCACGGTGCCACGCTATAGGTGACCGCGGAACTACAAACACACAGATAGTTTATCCTTCGTGTATTGTGTGACCGATGAAAGTTTTCTTCCTAGTGAAAGGCCTAGATTTAATTCCATGCCGTGCTGTGGGCCCACTCGGATTTGCCTCTTTCATGCACTGTTGACTTTTTCTGGCTTACAGTGGAAAAGTAGACTCGAACCAGTCTGTTCGCCGTTACCGTGATAGGCGTGCATTGTCATCTGCTAGGTTAATTCATGGTTTGTTAGTCGGGTGGTTTGTAATTTTGTTATGATTCATTCTACATCTCCTGGTGTAGAGTTCAGCTAAAAACGGAAACCGCAAAACCAGTCATCCATGTGGCGGATAGGCATTTACATTCATCGAGATAATACTTTGGTTGCTATTGCAAGCCATGCTTCATAGATAATGAAACGACTCGTACTCATAAATGGGCGTTTCCAGGAGTGAAAAGGGGTGGGATATTGAAATTGGCGGAAAGAATATCTGGTTATCACATGTCACCCTGTGAACAAATCCTATGGGACTGGTCTGAAAATTTCTAAGTGTTTTCTCAGTAGAGGCCGTAAATACTTCAATATTTTCCCTTCTAATTTTGACTTAATTGTTAGAACATAATTATTATCACTTTTTGATTGTTGATAGGTCACTGAAGGGAAAAATTAGTAATGGCCAGATATGGGAATCTTTCCAAATTGGCAGTCACTGGCTGCCAACTCGATCCCTCTCCCTCCCCAGCAAAATAATGTCGCCCCGGTAATGACACTCTGTGATCCAACCGAACGGTACTTGTGCATGCATAATACTTGATCGCCGGTAAAGTACCAAGCCGAACGGTCCATGTAATATCATCGGCCGAGGTAAGCTAATTAACATCGCAAGTACTACTACATTGTATTATGGAAGCCTCTACTACTATGTGTGACAACAGACTGACATAAACATTTTGGGTTTTTTTCAGCAAAATGTTTTGCCTTTGGTCAGGTATATTCCTCCCTCCATGCTTTAAAAAAATAGTGTAATTTCTGATGCAAGTGTCAGATCGTCAGATCTTACATGCCTACTTTTTATGAAAAGGCGCGTGCACAAACTACTTCCTGTGTGAAGTACGAGTCATTTGTAAATAACCTTACCGGCACTTTTTAACTAAAATTTATTCGAAGGCAAAACTTTGCATGTCAACAGGCACAGAGCTGCATGCTAGACATATGATGCTAGAGGTGATTTACTTGTAGCACGCCCTCTGTCGAGTGACATTGTCATAATTTGTCGTCGCTCGATCACACCGCCCTCTAGCTCTCCAAGCATGATATCCAAGGACAAGGCTAACCACTTTTACAAAATAATTGCGATGAGAGGCATTACGTGCAGGTTACTGCCATTATCAATACTATATGTACATAATCTTTATCCAGGTGGGCCAGTGACTTCGCATTTCTTTGAAGTCTCATGGTATATTGTTCTAACCGGTGACGCAGACCGCGCCTCTTGATGTACTGTGCAAAGACTGACGCGTGCGCACGTAATTGGAGGGATGGGGTTGATGCAGCTTTTGTGCTTTTCATTTTTTTTTTAGCCTTTTGTCTTCTAAAGTATACTCTTTTAAAGTATACTTACATTTTACTACAACCGATACAATTTCATTGTGAATATAATGGCATAAGTTGCATACACATATACCCAACGGCAACTGAAAAAAATAGGGCTGAACGCATTTTGTCAGGCAACATTGCTGACCTTCAGCATTTCAGAGCTAGAAGTGGGGCTTGTTGCACTTAGACACAAATAACCAACTTCAGGTCAACGACTCCACCGGAACTCAGCCAGTTTATTGCCAACAAAAAGCCTTTAAAAAAAGGAAACGGCGAAACATTTGGGATTATCAGCACAGAATCAGTTATTGACCCGTTAATCCCGGATCCCCACAACAATCGATGCCACGTCGATGTCATCGTATAGTAGGTGGTAGAGTTTAGGCGCGGCCTTCAACGCATTTCCATTTTCCACTCATGTCCAGTCCGTATGACTTTTCGCTCGTACCCCCCCCCCCCCCCCCGCCCTGCAAACAGGGTAGGGGATACGAGCGAAGACTTTTGCTTCAGTATAAAGCTGTTTGTAAAGTGATGACTTCAAGTTGTACAATGATTCATATTCCGATGAGTAAGTATAGCTGATTCGTCAAAAGTAATTGCCTCAAATAATCAAATAGATCATAAAAAGGCACTTTTTTCGTCATAAAAATGTATCTGGAACATATTTGTTTCCGATGAAAAAAAGATGGAAGATGTTGGGCATATTGGGCCTCGTGTTAAACTGAGATGCATGGATACATAATACATGTAGTACTGCAAGTGGGGAGGGCGGGCTGTATTATTAAGGGGCGGCTCCAATAGCAACATATTTTATGCTTGAACAATATTTAGCACCAAACATAATTATGACTAGTAAGCCAATTTAACAAACTACTTTTAGATAAAAAAAATAGTTCCATTGCTCAATCCGTTCAAATTATGTCACCATTTAAACGAAATAACCCTAAATCTGTTTCTTCCAAACATACGATTTATTGTGTGATTTGTTTGGAACAACAAAGTAAATGACACGGAATAACTGTAGTACACATTTATCTTTATTTACAACCCTGCTTTGGCCTACAATATGAGTTATAAATCCCTTTTTTAAGACGGGCCTTCAAAAGGACTTTGTTAAATGTTGTTAACTTTTAAACAGAGGTTTTATTTGTTGTTACATTTAACAGCACTGGGGAAAGCATGCTTGAAACCATTAAATCCTTTGGGTATAGACTTGTTCCCGGTGCCTAGCCTCCGCTCATCGTTTTAATTTCGAATGTATAGGCCAGTCTATTTTGTGTCATTGATGACAGGGTCCATACGGAGCAGAAGTGAAGGAATAAAGAAACCGAAACCTTTCTTTTTTTCTCGCAAGCCCTTGTTTGGTCACCATAGAGACAGTCAAATAACTCAGCATAACAGCGAATTAATTCCTGATGGCCAGTTTGTTCGAAGTTAGAAATTAAAAGACCGAAAAGAGCTGTTATGCAGCTCGAGGAGCCGGGTTTTTTTGTGGACACTGCACTGCATGCCCGTTCAGAAACACTCACACCCCTGGCTATTTTCCTGAAATCATCCATCTTTAAAAGCATGCTATTCTTTTACAAGGCCTTTAGTTTGAGGGACATGTCTTATGCAATCGCTCGGCATGAAAACGGGTCTGTCTTTTTTCAATGGCTTCTTTAAACAGAAAAAGAGAAAGAGGGTTGTCTGGGAGAGAAATGCTCAGTAAAAAGAGCTCTGTGTGATGATGCAGATTTATCACCAAGAATTCCTTGGTGTTGAGCGCCCGCGGGCTTAGAGGATGACATCTCGTATTCTCTCGCTTCGTTGCTTTGGATGCTTCTGTATGGTACATATAAAGGCGTCATTCTACGTGGGAAATCAGGGAATCATTTTTGCGGTTTCTCTGTTGATACACACTCTTTCAACTGGAACAGTAATCTTTTGCCGAGCTACACGAAAAGTGCATGCACATATTATTTTATTAATACAAATCTACTCGCTTATATCTAGTATGTACACGACAGATTGTAAAGACTTCGGGAAGCAACAGATTAAAGGACGCTATGATAATTGTCATTTAAATCTTTTTTTTTTAATGCAGGGGTGCACTGCGCAAACAGCCATTATTGGATGCTGAAATAAAGCCCAAATTGGATAAAGTTCATGACATTTGCAGCACGTGACAACAAATATTTAAAAATAATGGCAAATTAATCTCTCACATCTGAACAATTAGTAGAAGTTGTACAATTTCTTTCCGTTAGTGCTTATGACTCGGCGGAGCCCAAGCTTGTTTTACAACTTATATTCCTCCTCCATGATTGGGTGAGTCAGTCTAGGATTTCGTATGCTAGATTTTGAAAGGGCTATACATGCAGAACTTTACAAAAACAGTGGTCCCGACATTATTTTGGGTTTCGCTTTTTTTTTTACTCACCCTGTATATCGACACACCTTCGTATGAGATTAACAAGGTCCCACTTTATGCGCATCTTGACTTATCTGAAAACAGTTTGATACAAATGTATTTGTTGGAATAAAACTTGTACAGTGCCAGTGGAACTAATTACCCGATAAGATTCGCAAAGCTTACATGCTTATATGTAATTATAAAGATAATGTTAGTGCTTGCGGAGATTATCAGATTTACCTTGTATGCACACCATAATGACCTATTACTTATTATGTTTTTTACTATCACATTTTCCCCCACAAATAATCCCCTTATCAACTTTGATGTTTCCAGAATTAAATGAAACTCGGTTACAACAATAGAAATAGCATCAAAGATATTTATTTTGTTCACAAGTTTTTTTCAAATTGATTACAATTTTTTGGTAACGGTGCATGAAACTTATATACATTGTGCTTTAAATACAAAAATATCATAATGAGAGTAGATTAATTATACTAAAGAAAAGTTAGAACGATTAAAAACCACACGTTAAATAAGAAAATACTCTTGTAGTACTAATAGGAGCACAGCATATTGTTTAATGGTTTGAACAGAACTTTGCCTAGATTATTTCCTGAACAAAAAGCAACAACAGCAGTAAAATTATCAGTGGGTGGTGGTACCTGGTATCCAAAACAAATTTTAGATAGTGTATTGATACCATGATATAAGCAGTTATAGCACGACCAACTTCTTTGTATCATGCCCATTAGGAAAGGTTTAGTCCTTGCCAACGGGCATGCGGGTTATACCAGAACATTTTATCAAGGCAAAACATATAATTATAAACATCAAATGGGTTAGGCACTTATTAAAATTTTCTTACAGTTTTCTCACACCAAATCTTATCACAGCTGCATGCGACTAAACAAATAAATGTACCATGGTGCGTCCTTCGGTGTAGTAGCGTTTTAGGTTTTAAAAGTGCATTCGAGCACGCAGAAAATTAAGTAGGGGACTAAATGTACATCTGACATTAATTTTCGAACCAAAGAAACTACTTCAAAGAAATATATGCTACAGTTTGAAGTCTGTGTACTTTTAAAAGTTGTAACAACGTAATACAAAACTTAAAATGAAAGTAGCTGAATACAAACACAATTAACTGAAGAATTCTAAAAATAGCACCGAGCATTTCCTTTATACATTGCATCTAATATAGGTCCCTAAATTAGTCACCGAGTTCCCTGTGAAAATTGTAAAGAATATGTCCCAAACTTACGTGAAAACTTCCATTTAGCAAACAGCCGCAATCCTCAGAATGAAAGTCGGCTGTTCGTTAGGACTGGATAAAATGTTATATGAACGGTTCTGATTTGGTTTTATTCTTAGTTCAAAGATTTTGACACTTATTCTTTGATGATCTGGGCAGCTTTTTTGCAGATGTATGGATGACGGCGCCAGCATGAGATGTCATCCCATTTACCTGGAGATTGACTATTGATTACCACACAGTTCTCCTCATAACGGCGTTTCTTATGGACGCTGGGCTGTCTTGGTCCCCACAAGGTGAAGCTAAGAGGCTCGCCGCTGGCCCAAGTCATCTGCCCTTCCTCGTTGCGGTCATTCAGACCGATCCAGTACCGTCGCATCGTGGGAGACGCCTCGGACAATTCATCGCTGATCTCCGCTAAGTAGTCATTCTCAGCTTTGTCCGCGATGAAGACGAGCTCAGCTCCATCCTTCTGGCAGCTGGATGAGGCCTCCTCCCAGGTCTTGCTGGCAATCAGGAAGTGGTAGCAATACCCTCGGCGGGTGAACCAGGTGGGTGGGCACTCGACCATGGGAGGGGGAGGCGGGACGTCATTCTGGCAGGGCTCGACCGCTGGGCACTCACATGTGGGCACGGCACAGGGTGGGCATGAGCACTCTGGTGTACCGTTAGCCGGCTCCGGTTGAATTACATCTTGGACCCCCAGTTTCGGCTCGACGGAGCAGATAGCGGGCAGCTTGAAGTCGCTTCGGCAGGAGAGAGTCTCGTAGCCGTAGAATGACACCTGTTGGCTGTTGACGGGACGGCGATAGTCCAGTGCCACGCAGTACGGTCCACCCGCCTGGGAATCCACGACATTTCTCTGCCAGGCGTCGGATAGGTCTTTGGTGAGCCCCACCCAGTACCGTCGCCACAGATCGGGACTCAGTATGAAGGTCTCATCCGCGTACTCCTTCAGGATGCCGGTGTTGCTGGCCGTTGGCAGGAAGAGACGACCGGGAGCAGGTTGGCTTGCGCAGTACGCCTCAGCGTCTGATAGCGTCATGGCAAGGTCGACATCAGTACGCAGACAGACCGTGCCGTCACTCGATTGCCAGTATCTATCCGGGCATTCCTCGGCCCACACCCCGGCAGTCACGGCCAAAACTACCAGCAAAACCTTCAGCATCATTTTCAGTTTTTGAAGATTGGCTGAAAGTTACAACGAAAACTGTGCTTGCGCAACCGCTACAGACTTGTCCGCACCCTCTAAGTTGTCAAGCCAGCAATGCGATCGATGCACCCCACTACACTGACTATGTAATTGCCGGGGTGTGTTTCTTTCCCCACGAATGGCACAGCAGTAGTCCACATAGGCATGAGGTACTCGGTTAACTGACCAGTGACGAGTGCATGTAAATTGAATGAAAAGGAAGGTATTCAAGTGGCTCCGACTGAATTAAGACGGTAATTCTGAAGCCTTTTCAGACGACTTCAAAAGAGACGGGTAGTGTTCGATTATTATCCGTCGGTTTAGCAGGGAGATGGCCAGTACAGTGGAGCCCCGCGGCGATTTACTTGAGGAACACTCTTAAATCCACCAAGTTGTTGCATGTGCTCCAGTCACTTCTTGCGGATGTGTTTTACAGCTCAAAAAAGTTCCTGCCAAGCATGTCCGCGGGCTGAAATAAAGTGAAACGTCACGGTTAAGATATTCTACAAGCTTCAAAATGAACTGATAAGAAGTTAAACAAAAGGGAACACTATTCATTAGGTGAAAAGAGAACACGTTGTGTGGGAGCTCACACATTTTGTTCTGCTTTAGACGTCAAACACTAATTCCGCAACTGTCACCTTCTTAAATAAACCATAGAACAAGGAAAGCACAGTTACTAATGATAGAGCAGGAGTCTTGTATTTGTTGTGTTTATTTTCAAGTTTGTTTTACAAAACGAAGCTGCAGTGAAAATGCATCTCGCCGTTGAGGTTATTTACTCCCTCCCTTATACCGGAAGATGATAACGAGTCGCGTATCTAACAACCCGTTAAATCCGATAAACCAATCCACCGCGCCATTGCACACCATAACAATGGAGACGCCTCTTTACAAAATTCAAGAAGACTTTACCCGAGTTGTCTCAACTTAAACTGATTGATCCGGTCCATCGACGTAAAAACTCCTCTTGTGTTCGTCCCTCCTTTTTACAAAAAAACGAAGAAGTCAAGCCTTGTGAATGGAGGGGCTAAATTGATATGGGTTCACCGTGGTCGAAAATCCACTTAGGGGATGGTTGAGAAAACACAAATTCCTTAAGTATGGACAAAAGGACCAGCCCCAGTCCTCCGATCAGCCGCTGAATTCCCGCATCATTCACGGTGGAAATAGCAACGAATGATCCTTTTTGTTTGGGCATCATTTTGTTGGGGCGTCAATATAAATGCGGTCTATTTGATACCAAAATGAAGGACGCTCTACCAGGCCAGGAGAAGGAGCGCGAAGATACACGCAATCGTCTCCCGGGCCCACCACAGCCCAGTGAATATGTACAACAGTACTGTCGTTGCATACCAGCTACTCGGCTCTCTAAAAACGGTGGAATTCGCAGCACTTTTTGTTGTCACCGCACCAAAATGAAGAGGTTGAAATTTCACCGAGCCAATTTTGTACGGCACTTTTAACGAAGAACCACTCCTTTTGTTATGCGTTATGCAATAGCCCAAACAATTTCCTTAAAACCGAGATAACATAGCAATAAAACAGATACAGTTGTTTAATAGAGTTGTGAAACTAAACACGGCTTGACGGGGAGGAATTTTCGAGAAGGAACAAGTGACGGTGATGAAAGTGGTGGTACAAAATAATAGTAACCATTTTTTGGTTGTCCTATGACCATGTCATTATTTCATCACTTATCCACTATCGTCAATTCCGTCGTCATAACCATAATAACATCGTTATCTTACGACCATTGTTACCATCGTCAACTATATTGTCACGTTTGCCAATATCGTTCAGTGGGTGGTCTCGACGGTTGTAAGTTCGAAACTTGATCATGTTGGGTTGCCGTGATAGTTTAGCTGTGATAACAGTACGAAGACTTGGAGAAATAACCTTCTTTTGCCCTATTTCTTTTGCATTGTTTCTCATACTTTGGCTCCAAACATTTTCCAAGCAGTATATATCTCGTTTAACATGAAATTGACGACTCGTTGAACCTTCAACGAAATCGATGAGGTGAAACCATGTGATTAGACATCATAAAACGGCATCAAGGAGCATGTAAACAAAGTGTTTTCTCATTGTACTGGCTTTTAACTATCCGGTACTCAAATCTAATAATAAGACTTTGGCTATCGGAAGTTCTTGATCTAGAGGGGATAATGAGGCTTTGTGTATGTCCCAGCATGGAGGTCCCAGAGATGTAAGAAGCCCCATGCACACACCTTTCTGCACCTACAAGTCTAAATAAATACCATGAAATTGGAGCGCCAAGTTATTCGGTTACATCCCTCCCACGGACCCGTGGTTCCAAATGAATACACATGCATGTCTTAAAGAAACGCCACAACATAAGCGGCTTAAGAAGCAGGAGCTAATCCTAAACGTATAATGGACTGAGTGCACAGAAGACAGGATTATCCCCATAAGAAGGAATGGACAGAACATATTCATCAGCGCAAAGTCGAGACAGGTTCAGGCTAATTAAGAGTGAAAAGAATAATCTCCTCCTGGTTACATTGCGGACATTAGAAAAATCCACATACACTGTACATTGTACCTTGAAAACTTTAAAGCATCCAATGGTTGAACAGAAGATCGATACTTGAGAAAGCTGAAGAGCTTCAATCAAGTTTCTTAGATAGAAGCATCTTTCCAAAGAAATTAGAACTAAATCACATTTTAAAATTAGAACTAACTCACATTTTAAAATTGATGGTTTGGGCATTGGGCAAAAGGTAAAACGAAACAAACAGATCTACTCTATAAAAAAGAAGAAGTGTCTTCGTATTTAGTTGAAGAGTGCCGCTGCATGCATGTCCCACACGTTTAAGCCATCCCAGGCGCATGTCTTTTCCGACGGATGCCACCTTAATGAGTTCCGTTCCACTTGCACGTTCTCATTGCCTTCGCTTCATCTTTTTGAATCTATCGGTTTTTTTTTTATAATCCTTGTACCGTCTTCTCTTAATGCTGGGGACATAATTCTTCTACCCTAGAGTTATGTGTTTGTATGTGGTGTGTATTGCACACTGAGGAGTGAAACGAAGGAATTACACCATGTAATACAAACATGTCCATGTTCACCATAAACAACCGATGCCTATTTATAGAAGTAGATGTCAAAGAAGCCATGTCCATCACATAGTAAAGGTCCATTATTAAGCCCCCGCGAATGACAATGCAGCTAGTGATTTACATGCTGCCGAACACTGACCAAACCGACATCGAAAGAATGTTATCTTCTCTGTCCCAGGCTATCTGATCACGAAAGACAATTTGCAGGCCCATAAAATCCTAAATGTCAACAGTTTTTCAGGTGAAACGTGTCGGTATGATGTCTTTATAGCACACCTCCCTTAACGTTTAATGTTGATGTTGACTTATCGGACCGAAGGTCGAACTGCCATGGCAATTTTTACGCTAGGCGGTACTGGGTCGTCACTTGTACCAGAGTGTACGGTGAGCGGTGTTTTGGGCAAGGCAAAAATGACCAACACGATAACTGATGCTAATTATTTCGTTCCACAGTTACCAAGTAGTCAACGTTCAAAATACACGGTTGATATTGAATAATGCTAGTACATGTATTTTTTAATCATTATGAACTCTAATCCTGACCCTGTTTCTTGGAGATAGGCAGGTTACCCGCGGTTAGCTGAGGTAGGTAAACGTCACCCACTCACTGAAGATAACAAAACTTATTGGAAAGAACTTGAACTTATGAATTCGAGAAATACTGGAAAACACGCGAGATGATCAAGTTTAAAAGTACAATTGGAGATAATGTTAAACTAAAGAAAACCTTAACAAAGTTTATGAAATAAAGTTTTGTTTCTGACCGCTCGCTGCAATGATTGTTAAATTTGAAAGCATTGCTACAAAGGGCAGTGTGCCGTTTGGGTGTTTTACTGGCCCGTCATGTGCAATGTTGTATAATTTATTCTCCATTAAAAAAAAAATTGGAAAGTTTTCAACCATCATTGAGACCAGAAACCTGTGCAACCCTGTGTGGGCCAATCAGAATACGGCATGCCGTAGACGGTAGATTTTTTAAGCCTGTCAAATAGTGCTCATCTGGCCCAAAGTGGCCTTGCTCTCTGACCTGCGCGAGCAGGTTTCAAAATTTGTACAAGGTCGTAGCATCGTCTTGGCTAGGCCTTCACCTTTAACGGGCAAACGGCCCAAACGCACGGAATTTACACATAAAAGCAGGCGGTCCATTGTCACTTCAATAAATTATAGAAAATTTCTGCAGACCAAATAGCGAATTACCTCCGCCACGGGAGCAAACCGGTGCGAGATGGAATTTTTGTCCGAAACCGGCATTGTCTCGGCGAAAATAGAAAGATATTTTTTTTCAAGGAATTTGAAGTTTTGAGTCACCCAAATGGCGTTCTAGCTTTTTTATTTTATTAACACTGGCATTTTTTGGGGGTTAAAATCCTTCACAATGTACTTGAAATGAGGGAATTATTTTAATCTTTGACTAGCAGCTCTGTTCGACAGCGGCAACTCTGCCGGGTGTGTTGGCGTTGGCGCTCTCGCTGGCGCTGGCGCATGGCTTCTGATTGCTACTTGAGGGCGCTCGAAAACAAAGTTAGACCAAAAACAAGATGGCTGCGCCCATGTTGCAGAAATGACAAATTCACCATACGGCACACGTGGCAGCACAGTCTGTTACGGTGATGCTTGCGTCACATCCAGCCAGACACAAGCTTCAGAGATAGGCTTGGGTAAGGCACAGCTTTCACTATATTTTTAAACTGTTGATATTGATTGAAAAGTGGTAGGCCTAAGACTAAGTCATGTAAGAAGTTGTGTGTGTATTTACCGGTGCCGTGATCAGGTGATGGGAACGCATGGAAGGGGGGGGGGGGGGGGGGGGGGGGGGGGGGGGGGGGGGGGGGGGAGGTCATTTTGGTTGAGGGGTGAGCGAAGGAGGTTTGATGGTTTGGCAGGGGTGAAAGGGTGGAGGGTGGGTGCCTGGATGGGGGCGTGGAGGCACATTACTATTAACTTACTTAACTTGGCCTGGTGAGGTGTCAAAATTGAAAATCAAATGATTCATATCATAGTATAGCCCCACTAGTGTGGCCGTCGGTATGCTGCGCTGAACCTCTGGCCACACCGTGGTACCGCGCGCTACTGAGGACGAAGTTTTCATAAAATCTGCGGTCCGTTTCTTACATTCTCAGTTTCTTACTTTCTTATAGTTGTATTCTATGATGTCTCACCTATCACTTCTGGGACGGTCCTACTAAAGCGCGTCAACAAGCGTCAACAAGCGTCAACAAGCGTCAACAAGTTTTAGTAGTCGTTAAGTGTGCGTCAACAAATTTTTTATAGGCTTTTGAACAATAAAAACAGCTTTATATGGTAGAATAAGCAATAATGAACATCTTCTGCATATCAATTAAAGTTAAAATTATTTTAAAACTTGGTTTTTTGAACGCGAAATGTACGACGAATTTGTCGATAAAAGTTGGCCGCCATCTTGTTTATGTGTAGCTAGCCGTACTACGCATGCGTGAAGTCTACAGCGCCATCCAAACAAGATGGCGGCCTACTTTAATCGACAAATTCGTCGTACATTTCGCGTTCAAAAAAAACAAGTTTTAAAATAATTTTAACTTTCATTGATATGCAGAAGATGTTCATTATTGCTTTTTCTACCATATAAAGCTGTTTTTATTGTTCAAAGGCCTATACAAAATTTGTTGACGCGCACTTAACGACTACTAAAACTTGTTGACGCTTGTTGACGCTTGTTGACGCGCTTTAGTAGGACCCCTTCTGGGATGCTTAGGTCTAATGATGTTCCATTTTCCGAGATATTCTTCAATCTTTCTGGAGCCCATATGCACTCGTGAAACGTCTGGTGATGGCAGCCATTTTGAATGTGACAAGAGATGACCTCAAGCTGTGACGTCGCGTTTATGCAAATTGCTTGTCGAGCGCGCGAGGGCGCGAGTTGCAAATGCGACGGCTGTTTCCTGTACCATGCATTTATCGTCAGGGGGCCACGTGCACCGATCTCTATTCAGGATCTACGGCACAGGAAACAGCCGTCGCATTTGCAACTCGCGCCCTCGCGCGCTCGACAAGCAATTTGCATAAACGCGACGTCACAGCTTGAGGTCATCTCTTGTCACATTCAAAATGGCTGCCATCACCAGACGTTTCACGAGTGCATTTGGGCTCCAGAAAGATTGAAGAATATCTCGGAAAATGGAACATCATTAGACCTAAGCATCCCAGAAGTGATAGGTGAGACATCATAGAATACAACCATAAGAAAGAAACTGAGAATGTAAGAAACGGACCGCAGATTTTATGAAAACTTCGTCCTCAGTAGCGCGCGGTACCACGGTGTGTGGCCAGAGGTTCAGCGCAGCATACCGACGGCCACACTAGTGGGGCTAATCATAGTACTACTACTACTACTAGCTCTAATGTAGAAAGACAGTTACCCTGGATAGATCCACACACTCCATAAGACAGAATCCATAAGACCCCTTAAATTGTTCCAAACAACCGGTAATAATCAAAGAAAAACAAGTCGCACTTAATCAATCACACATATCACTACAAGAAACAATCGTTGATTCAGCGCGACTTGTTTTTCTTCGATAGTGACAGAGATCTGTCCAACCATAACTAGGCCTATACCAAGCTCAGATTTACTACTGTAATATATTTATAATTTTGTGATTTTTCCCTATGTTCATAGGCCTATCATTGCTGGTTTGAAAAAAAAAAGATTAGAAAAATTAACAAAAAAATTGTGTCATTTGTGATCCAAAATGAAAGGTATTTTGAAAGCTGGTGGTAATGCAGCAGATGCTGCTGTTGCTGTTGCTGCTGCACTGAATGTCCTGTCCCCATGCTTTACTGGAATTGGCGGCGATTGCTTCTGCCTGTACTACGATGCCGCTTCAAAAAGAGTCAGGGGATTAAATGGAAGGTACATGGATATTACTGCTGATCCAAAATGGGTGCTTTTTTGAGCACAGTAGTGTGGGAAGATGGAGTCAAATCTGTGCCTTTTTCTGTACACAAAACTCTTTGGCCGTTTGTTTGATTTGCGTTGAATTGGTTTGGATGAATAAAGTGATTGATTTATCCCCACAAGAATGATTGGGCCAAAAAATAATAGTTCTGCTTCAGGTTATCCTACCTACCCTATTTTGACAGCCCTTACTTACCCTAATTTTTGTGGGAGAAAAATGAGGAAAAACCCTGAAAACCATCAATTACTACCTTGACTACACGCAGACACCTCCATATGATCGTACACAAAAAATTGCCCCCCCCCAAAAAAATTCTCTACCTACCAACACTCTTTTCAAATGCCATGTAATCGGAAGCAGAAGTATTTTTTTTGGCCTTGGTGTCCAATACTGAATAAGAGTTGTGAATTTTAATTCAAGCCAGTATGGCTCATCAGGCTATTTGTAGTCTCTAGTTAACTTGGCAAGAAATGCCAGAGAATACATTTCCATTTCCCTCGGATTGGATTTCAGTCCATTGTAGGTTACTCCTCAGCTAATGTCATTAGATTACCCGTTTATACTCTGTGATTGAGAGAGGTGAGAGAGGTTCAGTGGCATGGCATCTCAGTACATATACAATGTATACAGTATTGAAAGCCCCACATTTTTTGACTCGTTGATTAATGCTCAGGCAATTTGTTTTTGGAATGATGTCAATGACGGTTGTTAAGAAACCAACCTTTAATACTCTCTTCAACCAAATTTTCTGTCTCACAGTGGACGATCCTCCTCAGACATAAACCTGGACGTTGTCCAGCAGCTAGGCTTCAGTAGTACCAATCCCATACCAAGGACTCATGGTCTTAATGTGACCGTTCCAGGGGCAGCAGCCGGATGGGTGGATACAGTGACAGAGTTTGGCTCAGGAAAAGTAAGTCAAATATTTGTATTTGATTGGAATGTGACTAACCACATCTCATAACTTTTTGACCCAAGTCTAGTTCCTTCCTGATAACCCCTATAAACTCTTTTACATCCTCGCCGCCAAGCTCCTTTTTTGTATCCCACCCCTCTCTAAGATTCTGTTTTGTCTGTAATTCCTTCCTGATCTTGCTTCTGCTCTCATTCTGTTCCCCACATTCTGTTATCCTTTGTTCCAGGTTTGGCCATGAGCCATCCGTACCTTTTGGGTTTTGTACAGTGCTTGTGACAGAGTTTGTCCAACGTACCATGGTCACCTGACCCACTGTACCATGGTCACCTGACCAAAAGTCATGATCTAATAGCACTGCTTGATTGACAGAGAGGAAGGATCTCTTCCTTCCTGATCCCCTCTGATTCCTCTGTGATTCAAACCCTTCAAGATTCAACTCTGTATACAGTGAAATCTCGATAAGTTAAACTCTGATAACTGAAAACAACTGTTAAAGTCAAACAAAGAATCCATTGCCTTCAGTAGTATAACAATTTCAATTTGCTAGACATTTATTCAACGTTGTTCATTAATACACAAAATTAATGTTATAATTACATGTATTATAATTGGATATAAATTGAATTCAAACCAACATTTATCATAAATCAACAACATACATACTGGAACAACGTTAGGTATAGGGTGAAGCATGGCTTTTGTACCCCAACCTGTGGACAAATACCTACAATTACCATACAAGTTACGAATAGGGACAAAAACGCAGGGACAAAACAGGAACATAACAAAACAAACAGGAGTAAAAATAATTATTCATCAGACATTATAAGAGTTAAGCAATTGAGTTTTCATTTTTTTGATGAATGTAGATAAAGTTAACGATAATTTAACTGAATCACTCAGCCTGTTCCAAAGGTCAATGCCCCGGTGGACAAGGCCGTTTTTCAACATTGACGTTCTACTGGAATAAACGTAAAGGTTTTGCTTTGAAACGCTTCTAGTATTATATGAATGAATATTCGAGGTGAAAGTAAAGAAATTGTTGAAACAATATGGGAGTAAATTATTTGAATATTTATACATGAATTTACCTAAATTTAGGTAATAAAGGTCAGTAAATCGTAAAATCTTGAGGGCAGCAAATAAGGGAGTAGTGTGCTCACGATAACTGACATTACATATAATACGAATCGCTCTTTTTTGCAAAATTAGTAGTTTTTCACATTGGGAAGAACAACCACCCCACGTGAGAATTGAGTAATTAAGATAAGGGAGAATCAGAGAATTATAGAGAATGATAAGGATATTTTCCGGAACAAAAAACTTTAGGCGATTCATAATCCCAATAGTTCTGGATATTTTGCCAGATATGGTATTAATGTGAAATTTCCAATTTAAGTTTTCATCAATATATATACCTAAAAGTTTTGGTTGTTTTGACTTGTTTCATGATAGTACCATTGAAATTTAAAGGAATGGTTTGTACGTATGTAACCCTGACCCAAAAAGAGGTCTTGGGTTATAGTATTATTTTATATGACTGTGTTTACTATTTGCATAATTTCCCTTTTTCTAATCTTTTATGATGTTTTATCTTTTCTACTGGTGACTTGTGTTCCAGTAGACCTTTGATCTTTTCCTGCTTTTGTTAAAGCCTGTCTTTGATCTTGCCCACTTCCTGGAAGAATAGAGGATGTCTTTTGTGTCCTCTGCCTTTTATTACTGACTGGTGCCCCAGTTGTGTACTCTTCCAGGAGCTAAGCAGGATGTAGGGACACTTAATCCCTGGTTGTTGATCACACCTTGCAGAAGCTGTGAAAACCACAAACTCTGCTGAGTGTTCATCTGCCTGGTTACTAACTGACCAATCAGTATTAGAGTCTTGTGTGACAATTTGAAGTTGGACCAATGAGAGCCTGGCTAGTCATGTGATCAGGGCATGGTCTTGGTGCTAGCTGCCCCAAAATTTTAGCAGAGCTTGGCATTCCTGATTCTGCCACCGTGCTGACTGCATGCCTGCCATTTTCACCAGCCATTTTGCATCATTTTGTTGTTCGATTGGAGGATCCTGATTCCAAGTTCCCTCCTTTTTGCACGAATGTTGGCTCTCTGTTTTAGACTGGACCGGCCGTGTCACCTCAATTTCAAGGGAGACCTAGACGGGACCATCTGAGTGTTCCCCGATCTGCCCTCCAGACACCACATTGCCTGCTCCAGCACTTCCAAGATCCATCGGTATCCCCGACGTCCGAGACCAACAGCTGTCCAGCACGTCGGAGAACCATCATTTCCTTCGGCATCCAAGACATTGGAGCGTCCCTAGACACAGCCACCAGCATTGCCCTAGACAAAGCCACTTCATCTTTCAAGACCTCGCAAGTATCCCTTTGTTTTACCGTACCGACAAATGACGAGAGTCGTCAATTTCTTCTTCAAGTTCAACTAGTCTACTTTGTCACATCGTTCTTCCATCGTCTTCAAGCTCTTCTACGCCATGTATGGACTCCCGAACTACCGCGGATGGACGAAATCGCGAGTTTAATCATTTTATAGTTTTGGCGCCCTTTTTTCCCGAGCTCTAGCTTTGTATTTTAAATTTTACAGGATCCTGTGTTTTCTGTGAAGTATATTTAATATCATTGCATTTTTTACTTGAATTGCCATTGCTTGAGACCGTTTTATTTCTGGCAATAAAACATATTTCATTGTGTACGTAAATCCTGAATTGTGTGAAGTCAAGAGTTCTTTTTCAAAAGGGAGTTAAATTAATATAAAATTTGGTTCCTGTTATTTTGAAATGTGAACCACGGGTTACATTTTGGGGGCTTGTCCGGGAAAGTTTTATTTTTTTGATTTGACTTGACTTTGAGTATAAGGGATTTGTGTGCACATTGATTTTGTTTTGTTGTTGGATTGAGAGTCGGTATTTATTGTTTGATATTGTTCATTGATTGATGCTAACGGTTACTCTCATGTTATTTACTCTGTGATTGCTATTGCTCTATTGATTGACGCTAACTGTTTTCTCAAAGGTATATTATTTATCCTGTGAATTATTTTTTATACTTGCCAAGAGAGCCAACATCCGTGCAAATTCCCATTTTTTGGCTATTCCCCATTGTTCTATGCGTATTGTATTTTCTGTTTGTTCAAATTTCACTTGTGTCACACTATGGCGGATGCAGCACTCAGACAGAAGGGTGTGGATTGGTGTAAGAAGGATGATCTCCGACCCACTCACTCTGTTTTGTTGACATTTCAACTGTCTAGCCCATTGGTTGAAGATACAGATATTTTTGCCTGTTCTTTGCATGATATTTTCCCTTCATTGGAAGGTCTTTCTAGGAAAGACACTGATGACCAGAGTTCTGCTATTTTCCTCTGTGATTTCTCTCAGCCCATCTCTTCTCTAGGACTAAGGACCGAGATTAATCTCAGCTGTCACGGGTCATCGACACTCTGTCGAGTCATCCGGCTGGATGACTCCCCATCAAAGCGTGTCACCATTAGCCACCTACGGAAGAGTGGTGTGCTGAACGCATGGAACCTGAGAGAGAGGACTCCTGCATCTCAGTCTCCGTCCACTTCAGATTCTAATTCTTCTTCCCAACAATCTCTTCCTTCCGACTTCACTAGATCTTTTGCTCGCTGTACTCTGGCAGCAAACTACAGAAAGCTCAGATGTTTTTCTGGTTCCTCCACACCGTCCCGTGATGAAGATGACTACGTCTCCTGGATAGACCATGTCGAGGGGCAGATGGATGAGTGGCAGGATCTTGATGATGCCGAGAAGAGGAAACGCATTCGCGAGGCTTTGCGTCCACCCTCGCTGAACATCATCAATGATCTGCGTCGAGACAACCCTGCTGCTATGTCACATGAGTATTTGAAGGCTCTCGACATTGCGTTCGGCGACACTGAGACGGACGACGAGTTATTTGTGAAATTTCACAGTTTGACTCAGACCGAAGGCGAGTCTCCATCGAAGTTTCTGACGAGGTTGCAGAATGTGTTGAGGCGAGCACTGAGGAGGGGTGTTGTCCCTCATGCCCAGTCCAACAGGGTGCGGCTTACTCAATTCATCCGTGGTATTCTGTTCGACGAGATGCTACTGGTCAACCTACAACTTAGGGACAAGATGGATCAGCCACCATCGTTCCTGAGCCTGCTGTCCATGGTTAGGAAACAGGAGGACGAGACCAGACTCAAGTCAGAAAGTCGTGGTCGTCCAACCAGAGGACCGGGAAAGGCCCAGCACCTACAGCATGCTGCAAATCCTCAGACTCAGTTTTCTCACTCTGCCGATCCTCAGGCACATTTCTCCCACTCTGCCCATCCTCAGGCACATTTCTCCCACTCTGCCCATCCTCAGGCACATTTCTCCCACTCTGCCCATCCTCAGGCACATTTCTCCAACTCTGCCCATCCTCAGGCACATTTCTCCCACTCTGCCAATCCTCAGGCACAATTCTTCCATCAGAATGCCTCGCCCATGCAGCATTCCACTCCACAGACGCCGACTCATGGTTTCCGAGGCCCTGCAAAAGGACGGCAACCCCGCCAGAACCCTGACCGAGGCCATGAGAGGGGCACTCTGGTAGATTTTTGTTTCTCGTGTGGCCAGGAAGGACACATTCGCCGGAGATGCATGAACCCGGCCAACGCTGAAGTTGTCAACAGAAAGTTGATCAAGTTTGTTCTTGGTGGACCGTCGGGAAACGGGCAAGGACATCTGCAGGAGGGGACCCAGATGTCCGAACGCCAGTAAACCCCAAGGTTCAGTACGAGACAGGGACAGATGTTCCTCAGGGATTGATTGGTGACACAATCACACCGCGGTGTTGGGTTGATGGACTCAACACCCACTGCTTACTAGACAGTGGTTCTCAAGTAACTTTGATATCCAAAAGTTTCTTTGACTGTCTCAACCGTGATCTGCACCCTCTTAATGATCTTGTTTTGTTTCATGGAGGTGATGGAAAGATGCCATACTTAGGTTGGACTTATGTCTCTATGGGGTTTGACGACTCCTTCAGTGGGACCAGTAGTCAGTTCAACACCTTTGCTTTGGTCGTCCCAGATGGGCGAAACTCCAGTACCCAGCCAGTCATAGTAGGGACAAATTCAGGTATTTTCCGCAGTTGTTTTGAGTCATGTAGACAGCAGGCAGGGCACCGGTTTGTACAGAGTCTAAATATCAGTGCTACATGCCGAAAGATCTACAAGGACATCGCTGACAGGAACAAAATTCCTGAAGATGGCAAGCTTGGGACGGTCAGAACTCGGTCGAAACGTGTTCTCACCCTTCAACCTGGCGAACAGAAATCTGTCTGTGGGTTTTTGCGGAATGTTCTGCGAAAACCAGCGACTGTGCTGGTCGAAGCTCAAGAAAAGTGTAGACTGCCGACAGGGTTAGAAGTGACACCTCTTGTCACTCAACTCCCCGGGAACTCCACATGCACCGTAAATGTAGTGGTTGCCAACCGTACCAATCGGAAGATAACAGTCCCAGGAAATTGTCCTTTGGCAGACGTTTTCATTCCTGAATGGTGTCATGAAGCTCCGAACATGAGGGAGCCAATGAAAGCTTCAAGCGCAAACTTTTGTGTCAAGGCAACTACGAGCAACAATGTCCACTCCAAGCCCTCTGATCATGATTTTGACAACCTTCCTTTTGTCTGGGGTTCGATCTCCCCTGAAAGGAAGAGACAAATTCTTGACAAGATGAGATTAAGATCTCAAGTTTTCTCACAGCATGACTGGGATTTAGGACGCACGCAACAGGCTGAGCACCAGATCAACCTTGAAGATGGCTCTCCATTTAGGGAAAGATCACGAAGGGTGGCTCCTGCTGATCTGAAGGATTTGAGGCTACACTTGCAGCAGCTGTTAGACAACGACATCATTAGAGAATCACGCAGCCCATATGCTTCACCGATTGTGCTGGTTCGCAAGAAAAATGGTAGCTTGCGAATGTGTATTGATTATCGTACACTGAATGCACGCACAATCCCTGATCAATACGCTGTCCCACTCATACAGGAGGCGATTGATTGTCTGAACGGCAGCAGTTGGTTTTCAGTGATCGACTTGAAATCTGGGTTCTATCAGATACCTATGCGTCAAGAGGACAAAGAGAAGACGGCGTTCATCTGTCCTTTGGGTTTCTACCAGTTCGAACGAATGCCTCAAGGTGTCAAGGGTGCTCCTGCAACTTTCCAAAGGTTGATGGAGACCTGCATGTCTGGAATCAACATGACTGAAGTATTAGTCTACATGGACGATCTCATCATCTTTGGTCAATCTTTAGACCAGATGGAAGAGAGACTTATGAAGGTTCTTGATCGTCTCGCCGAGTTTGGACTGAAAGTGTCTCCTGAAAAGTGTCAATTCTGCTGTAGGTCTGTCAAGTATCTCGGGCATATAGTCTCAGAGAAAGGAGTGCAGACCGATCCAGAAAAGATGTCTGCTCTGAAGACATGGCCTCGACCTCTGAATGTGAAACAAGTTCGATCGTTCCTTGGTTTTGCAGGTTATTATCGGCGCTTCATTGAGAATTATTCGAAAATTGCCCGCCCGCTAAATGACCTCACTGTTGGGTGTGTCTACCCAAAGAAACGGGGTCGACCGGCACCAAGAGTGGCGTCCGACCCTCATGCTCGGAAGGCCGACGACCCACTTGGCGAACTGTGGACGGCAGAGTGCGAGACGGCATTCTTCACTTTGAAAGATCGTCTCATGTCCGCCCCAGTCCTAGCATTTGCAGATCCATCCAAGCCATTTGTGCTACACATCGATGCCAGTCGTGATGGTTTAGGCGGAGTACTCTACCAAGATCACGATGGGAAACTTCGTCCTGTAGCTTATGGTAGTCGGGGTTTATCTCACAGCGAGAAAAACTACCCGGCCCATAAGCTAGAGTACTTGGCATTGAAGTGGGCCATCACTGACAAATTTCGCGACTACCTGTACATGGCCAAAGGAACTAAGGTGATGACGGATAATAATCCTCTCACTTATGTTCTGTCCTCGGCCAAGCTAGACGCCACTGGACATCGTTGGTTGGCGGCTTTGTCGAACTTTGATTTCTCCATCCATTACAAGCCAGGGCGGACCAACATTGACGCTGATGCTTTGTCACGTAGGCCCCATTCCCCGGAGCTTGATCAGCAGTTTGAGGAGGAACAGCGCGACATGATGGAGAAACTCGAAGGTCGACTGAAGGGCACAGGTGAGATACAGGATGTCGTCTGTCCTCAAGAGGCTGTGAGCGCCTTGTATTTCCGGTGTTGTGCCAGGATCCCTGAACCTGCATCTGATGGACGAACAGATTCAGTCCCGTCTTGTCCAGATGACAGTGTTCCGCTGATCCACTCCTTGTCCGTAGGTGCAAATGCTGTCCCTGATTCTTATGCATCAGAGTCCGAGATGAGCAAGATGAATTGGGAGGAAATCCAACGAGAGGACCCAATCATCAAGCTAGCCATAAGCTTTGTGAAATCGGGTAGGAAACCAGACTCACAAGCAGACCTGCCAGGTGAAGTGAAACTGATCCTTAGAGAGTTTGACAAACTTACCCTTTCAAACGGCACTTTGTACAGGTCCATCACAAACTCACTGGGCAACAAGTGTTTTCAACTTGTACTCCCATCCCAATTTCGGATCCAAGCCATCAGAGGACTGCACAACGAGTTAGGACATCTCGGTGTGGAGCGAACACTAGCGCTCGCCCGAGACCGGTTCTACTGGCCTCGAATGGCTGCAGAAATTGACAACTGGGTCAAACACTGCGCTCGGTGTGTGGCGAGGAAGACGCCCCAGAAACCTGCTGCACCACTAGTGAACATCAAAACTAATGGTCCTCTAGAACTGGTCTGCATGGACTTCTTATCCTTGGAGGCAGACAGAAGTAACAAACAGTCGATCCTAGTAGTGACCGATCACTTCACTAGATACGCCCAGGCATTTCCTACAAAAGACCAAACTGCTCGCACTGTGGCTAAGGTCTTGTGGGAAAATTTCTTTGTTCATTATGGTCTACCCCAGCGTCTCCACTCCGACCAAGGACGTGATTTCGAGAGCAAGGTTGTGAAAGAGTTGACACTCCTGCTTGGCATCAAAAAATCACGAACCACACCCTACCATCCCCAAGGTGATCCCCAACCAGAGCGATTCAATCGTACTCTGTTGAATATGCTGGGAACCTTGGAAGATGAAAAGAAGACCAACTGGAGCAAGTATGTTAGTGCACTGGTTCATGCGTACAATTGCACCAAGCATGACAGCACAGGTTTCTCGCCGTACTTTCTTATGTTCGGCAGAGAGGCGAGGCTCCCAGTTGACCTGCGTTTTGGCGTGAGCCCCGACGGCTTTTCCAACACCGACCATGTCAAATATGTCAAGGGCCTCAGGGAACAACTAGCAAGGGCTTATCAGCTGGCAACCAAACAGTCGGCTAAGTCAGCCCATGCCAACAAAACTCGTCATGACGGACGGGTACGAGGAAATGACTTGAAGCCTGGAGATCGTGTTCTGGTCAGAAATCTTGGCCTGAAAGGAAAGCATAAGATTGCTGACCAATGGGACTCAACAGTTCACCTAGTAGTAGACCGGATTAGTCCCGATATGCCTGTTTATCGTGTACAGCCAGAGACAGGAGAAGGGCGGGTCCGAACGCTGCATAGGAACATTTTGTTGCCTATCGACTACTTAAATGGTGAAGAGTCCCAGCATCGTGTCACCAAGCCCAAACGCCCTGTCACAAGAGCAGCGGCTAAGGCTAAGCCTGCACAATGTCAGTCTGACTCAGAGAGTCAAGAATCTAGTGACGACGAGGTGGTTGTAGTTTTTCCCACGGAACTGCTCCAATCTTCACTTGATGCAGAGGCCCCAGAGTTCGTCCCTCAGCATCAACCGGATACCAACCTGTCTGTTGATACCTGTTCAGAGGAGGAACAAAGCACAATCACGGAACAGCCTTCACCTTCTTGTGAAGTACGTGTTGATGCTGACAAGTTGTCCACAGCACAGCCTCCATCTCCTTGTGAGGAGATACATGTCGACATTGAAAAGTTGTCCGAAACCCCAACGAAATCTTCGTTGCAAGATGCAGATTTGAGTGAACCGCCTACAGTGGACAGTCCTCTCATTTCACCAGTGCTTGTGACTTCCCCATCAATTCCTCAGGATGAACTCATCATTAGAGATGAGATGCAATGGCCATCCACTGAGGATTCTCCATCAAACAAGCCTGCTGATGACCCAGTGCCGACCCAACCCATTGTGACAGAAACCTCTGATTCCGAGTCAAGCTTTGTCAGACGCTCGACTCGAGTGTCAAGACCACCCGTGCGGATGAAGTTTGAAGAGAGAGGACAGCCAGTGTTTAGCCGGCAGTTCCAAACGCCTCGGATGTTTGCCGAGTTTAAGAAGAAGATTTTTGGCTATTAGATTTGTATATATGTATATATTTCCTTGTTTTCTTTTCTTTTGCTCCCGGAGGTAGCAAGTTAAGAAAGGGGAGGATGTAACCCTGACCCAAAAAGAGGTCTTGGGTTATAGTATTATTTTATATGACTGTGTTTACTATTTGCATAATTTCCCTTTTTCTAATCTTTTATGATGTTTTATCTTTTCTACTGGTGACTTGTGTTCCAGTAGACCTTTGATCTTTTCCTGCTTTTGTTAAAGCCTGTCTTTGATCTTGCCCACTTCCTGGAAGAATAGAGGATGTCTTTTGTGTCCTCTGCCTTTTATTACTGACTGGTGCCCCAGTTGTGTACTCTTCCAGGAGCTAAGCAGGATGTAGGGACACTTAATCCCTGGTTGTTGATCACACCTTGCAGAAGCTGTGAAAACCACAAACTCTGCTGAGTGTTCATCTGCCTGGTTACTAACTGACCAATCAGTATTAGAGTCTTGTGTGACAATTTGAAGTTGGACCAATGAGAGCCTGGCTAGTCATGTGATCAGGGCATGGTCTTGGTGCTAGCTGCCCCAAAATTTTAGCAGAGCTTGGCATTCCTGATTCTGCCACCGTGCTGACTGCATGCCTGCCATTTTCACCAGCCATTTTGCATCATTTTGTTGTTCGATTGGAGGATCCTGATTCCAAGTTCCCTCCTTTTTGCACGAATGTTGGCTCTCTGTTTTAGACTGGACCGGCCGTGTCACCTCAATTTCAAGGGAGACCTAGACGGGACCATCTGAGTGTTCCCCGATCTGCCCTCCAGACACCACATTGCCTGCTCCAGCACTTCCAAGATCCATCGGTATCCCCGACGTCCGAGACCAACAGCTGTCCAGCACGTCGGAGAACCATCATTTCCTTCGGCATCCAAGACATTGGAGCGTCCCTAGACACAGCCACCAGCATTGCCCTAGACAAAGCCACTTCATCTTTCAAGACCTCGCAAGTATCCCTTTGTTTTACCGTACCGACAAATGACGAGAGTCGTCAATTTCTTCTTCAAGTTCAACTAGTCTACTTTGTCACATCGTTCTTCCATCGTCTTCAAGCTCTTCTACGCCATGTATGGACTCCCGAACTACCGCGGATGGACGAAATCGCGAGTTTAATCATTTTATAGTTTTGGCGCCCTTTTTTCCCGAGCTCTAGCTTTGTATTTTAAATTTTACAGGATCCTGTGTTTTCTGTGAAGTATATTTAATATCATTGCATTTTTTACTTGAATTGCCATTGCTTGAGACCGTTTTATTTCTGGCAATAAAACATATTTCATTGTGTACGTAAATCCTGAATTGTGTGAAGTCAAGAGTTCTTTTTCAAAAGGGAGTTAAATTAATATAAAATTTGGTTCCTGTTATTTTGAAATGTGAACCACGGGTTACACGTATTTCTTTTGTTTAGGACAGAAAATGATATAATTTGATTTAAATAGATTAATACAAAGTTTGTTTGCTACCAACCAAGTGCTTATTTTGAGAAATTCACGATTAAGATTACTTACAGCAGCATCTACATTACTATGACTATACACCAAACTTGTATCGTCAGCAAATAAAGTAAATTCAATTACATCTGATGTACTGCAAATATCATTTATATACAGAATGAATAGAAGTGGTCCTAAAACAGAACCTTGCGGAACTCCACAGGTAATAGTCTTGCATGTAGACTTCGCAGAATTGAATGATACAAACTGTTTTCTTTTGGACAAATAACTCTTGAACCAGTCTAAAACTATTCCTCGAATTCCGTAGTGCTCTAATTTAGAAATCAAGATATCATGATTAATTGTATCAAAGGCCTTAGACGAGTCTAAAAATACACCGATAGCGATCTTTTTGTCGTCTATGGCCTCAAGAAGTCTGTTTACCACATAAGAAGTTGCCATCTCGGTGGAGCGGTTTGACCTAAATCCAAATTGAGATTCTGATAAAATATTGTGTTTATCTATAAAACATATAAGTCTTTTGTAAATTAACTTTTCGAAAACCTTAGAAAATGTAGATAAAACTGAAATGGGTCTATAATTACTAACTTCATGTTCATCTCCCCCTTTATACACTGGAATAACTTTACCTGTTTTTAGCCCTTCAGGAAAAACTCCCATAGCCATGGACTTATTAAAGATTTTAGCCAGTGGTTTTGAAAGACTACAATGATATTTATACAACCCTGCTTAAATTGAAACTCTGCTTAATTCAAATTTTCAACCTGTTCCCTGGAGATTTGACTTATCAACATTTCACTGTGTGTATGTTTTTTTTCCAGCTTTCCATGCAACAGATTCTCCAACCTGCAATTGATCTAGCCGAGGGCGGCTTTACTGTTCAGCCAGTAGCAGCCAATGGTTGGCAGCATGATGTGGACAAACTACTGCGAAAATCCAACCCCCATGCGGCATGCCTTCTGAAGGAGGGAAGGGCACCAAAGGCCGGGGAAACCATGCGTCTTCCCCTACTGGCCAAGACCTTTAAGGTGAAAGCACTATTTACTCATGGTTTTGAGATGAACCACTGGTAGTGACTTTGCATTTGGTCAGTGTGTTGATGACAGTAAGACCATACTGATCAAAACATTTTTGATTATTTCTGGTTTTCTCAGAACCATTTCTCTTTTAGACGTCACGCCACAAACTTTCCCTAGTTACATTTTCAACCTTACAAAGCCTCAATTTGTGTTTTGATGCTTTACAAGGTTGACACGTTAAAGGGTTCATGCAATACATTTTTTGTATAATCATGTTTTGTGCAAGTTTCTACTCCTCTTAAATGTGTAAAACATTTAAAATTGTCCATGCGCTGTTGTTGTGATGTCATTTCAGGAAGACACTGCTTAGTTTGTGTTTTCTGTTAAAATATGAACCCAAAAATGTGTTCAAGGAAAGCATTTGTAAGAAAAGTTTGCTTATTAGCTTACTGCCATGTACTGAAACAACAACGAATCACCAAAGGAAAGAAAATCTACAACAGCAAATTGTCCAAAATCAGGCAACTTTTGGCGCAGAAATATCTGTAACATTGAGGTTTCTGCCTGAAATGATATCACAATTTTTCTCATGAACATGGACATTTGCATCAGCATATAAACCACAAAGGCACCAAAATACCCTTGAAAATGGCAACATAAAAATTGAACATAGGGTTAAATGAGACATAAAGGTGCACTTTCAAAGATTGCATTAAAAGAAATGTACATTACATGGGCCCTTTAAGGAGTGATATTTTCTTCACCATCAAAATGGGTACTAAATGTCAACATCATTATCTGACTTGATTTGTAGGAGCTTGCACTCAAGGGCAAGGCAGGCTTCTACGAGGGTCGTGTAGCACAAGCCATCGTGGACATCGTGAAGGCCAACGGAGGAACGCTGAATCTACAAGACCTGAAGATGCACAGCAGCTCCCTAGTAGAGCCAATCTGCATCAACTACAAGGGTCTTAATGTGTGGGAGGTTCCTCCTAGTGGACAGGGGATAACAACCCTGATGGGACTAAACATACTAGAGGGATTGGACCTGAAAGGTGAGTGGTCACGTTTGTTTAATTGGACATTCTCTAATCAGGTTATTTCAATGAGGGACTGATTAAAGGGATTCTCATTAGTATTACCCCTGATTTACATTATAATCATACTTGAAGCCATCTCATTGGCATGGGGAATATATATAGACAACCAAATAATGTTTTAATTATTAACCCTGATTAACAATCAATCCTGGATCCCTGCTGCATATTTCCAAGTTCACGACATCTGCCTTTAAACACAGCATTGGGCAGTCGGGGCCACTTCACTGGAATGGATTCCCTTTCTTAAGTTTAAGGAAAAGCAAAATCGCATTAAGTTTTCAACGTAATCTTAAGTCGTACCTTCTTCAACAGTGACTGTTTTGTCGTAATTATTTATTTTTTCTGTACTTTTATATCCAGCCTTACTACTGTAACCACTGGAATTGTGAGTGTACTTGTTTTGTTTCGTTTATATGTGCTGTTTGTGCTTTGTCAATTTAGTCTGTGCTGTAAGTGTTTGTAATTGTACGGCACTCCCTAACACAAGCTGTGCTTTTTTGTCTGTGCCTCCAATTCCCATTATTCTGTTGGAATTGGAAATGAATGTTGATGAAACTGAAAATGAACTGATCCATGTAAACCTGGAAAAATCCCAAGGCTGATTAATGATACAGGCTTATTACTGTTGCAGCTATGGGACACAACTCAGTCAAGTACCTCCACTGCCTGATTGAAGCCATTAAACTCAGCTTTGCTGACAGTTTGTGGTACTGTGCTGACAGTGACAAGGTAGATGTCCCTGTTAACAAGTTGTTGTCCAAGGATTACGCTGCCAAGAGGAGAACACTCATAGACCCAGTAAGGTAAGAGGATATATCTGCCTAGTCCAAAAAAGGCTTATCGAAAACAAAGTAGTGTTAAAAAGTTCAGACAAGAACATGTAAATTTTTCTTGGAAGTAAAAAAGGAAGTTTAAAGGGGCACTAGGTCCTGAAATCCCCGAAAATTTCATGTTTTGGATTGTTTACTTATCCTATTACAAACATCTGGTTGAAAGGAAACCAACCTAATGTCTTACCATTCCTGAGAAATGGCGAACTAATCCCGGTTGTTTACATCGGACATGACAGAGTTTTCAGTCAATGTACGATATACGCGTGTGTGTCAATACAGCACCGTACTCGCGAACAGCGGTGACCAATCACCGATGCACAAAAGGTGGTTTCTTACACGTCCGCAAAGGGCGAACACTTTATGAATGAAATCATAACTAGCACCCAAACAGCTCGACTTTTTGGGGTTGCAAAAGTGAACCCTGAAAGTCGTTTTTGCACACATAATACAGGAATAACACAAAAATGCCCAGTTTTTAAAGGAAAGTTGTGTGGATGTAATATCCTACTTTTAAATGTTCTTTCCGATGAACATCATTTTATTCAAAGCGCATTTTGTAGCCCATTTGGGCTGTTCCAGGATGCAGTGTCCCTTTAAGTTAGCATCCAAGCCATGCTGTGCTGTTGAAGGCTATTGGGAAACTTTCCTTTTCTCATCCTGAGAGAAAAAGAGGAAAAAACTGAGACCTTTGCTTTGAATACTCATTTAAAATTCATCTAAGGAACTTTTTGTATAAATTTATGTTCATCTACAATATTTTACTGGAAAATACCAGAGTTGTAGTGGAGTCAATCAAAAATAAGAAGTCGAAACACAAGTAGGGTCACCCAGCCTTTAGCCCCAGTCACACATTCACGGTTTGGAGCTACGGATATCCACAGTTTGAAATTTGTGATAAACCGTGGGAGTACCGTATTCATCCTTAGTACCTCCGTGGTTATCCGTCATCTTCCTTGGGTATTGCTATGGAGTATTCGTGGAGGGGCTACTTAAGTTTTAAACTGTTCCAAACGTCCGTGGTGAATCGTCATGAAAATCAATCCGTAGTGCAACCGTGGGACATCCGTAGGACAACCGTACTAATTCGTAGAGTTATTCGTGGCTAATCGTACATAATCTTGGAGATTCGTAGCTCTTTCATGGTAGAAATCTCTACGAATTCGCTACGAGTGTCCTACGGATATGCCTGGATGTGCTAGGGTTCTGCTAAGGTTGTACTACGAATACCCACGCTTTATTCGCAGGAGAACCTTGGTCATCCGTGGCCCAATCGCAGACAACCGTGGCGTTAACGTCATTATTCTTAGTAATACCGTCGATACTCTTCAACAATCCATCCATATTCTTGACAAACCCTTGTGTATTCGTAGAGAAACCTTAGGACAGTCGTGGCTGTCCATCCTGAAACCGTAGTGCATTCTTAGTCGATTTCTCCATGAATCTCGACGGTTCATCATGATCGATTGATTCTTGGTAAACCGTGGATATTCGGAGCTCCCACCTGAATGTGTGACTGGGGCTTTGCATACATATACTTGTGGGGACAACCTTTGTTTTCCTTCTTTTGTTCTCCTTTGTCTCTAATGAAATCTCCAACTCCATAGCATTTCCCTTATTGGGCAGATAGATTTCTTAAAGGGAATGTACATCATTGGCTTTCACTGTAATTTTCAGAAATGAACTAGTTGAGGGGTTAGTATAATAGATCAAAATATTGTTACACTGACATGTTTGAAGTTTTGTGTCCGAAAATGCTCAAAAAACCAAGAAAAACAAAAATGTTCAAGTAGTCTGGTTCCCTGACTCCACTAAAGATGAAATGGATCAATTTATAGATGCCGGAAAATTGTAAGGTAAGGGAACCAGTTTAGCTGGCCTGCACCCATTCATGAACATGTAACCAATAGCAAACACAATTTGAACTGAAACAAATGGTAAATATGGGCAGTAGTTGAACAAAAGTTAGGTTTTTCCAACGGTGGTCGGCCGACCACCGTTGGAAATGTATACAAAAATACCATTTTCTTGAAAATGACTTCACACCAGGTGCCGTAATTTTACAGAATGCTTGTGACTGTCACTTACCAACATCCTAGTAAGGTATTTCGTAAAAACTTGGTAGTTTTATTTTTCGATGTTTGCAAATGTTGTATATTCCCTTTAAGATTTCCTAATGGGGTCTATTGTTCTATTGTATTTTCTACCCAATAAGGAACCATGTACATGTACACAAGCAGCGGGGGATAAGTAGTTATAAAGGAATGCATTTGTCACAGTTCATTTGGATAGCTTTTCACTTGAGACTTCCTGACTTGTGATGGACTTCCGAGGATTTGACTGCAACTATGAACAAATACTCCCTGCCAGAACCTTTGAATGGACTTGTATTCCATTGTTATCTTGCAGAGCTAGCAAGGACCTTAAACACGGTGAAGTCCACAGTGGAGGTGACACAGTGTATTTTTGTGTCGTTGATGAGCAAGGGAATGCTTGCTCCTTCATTAACAGTAATTACAGACACTTTGGGACTGGTCTGGTACCTGAGGGCTGTGGCTTTACATTACATGTGAGTATGGACAGTAGTCAGTTTACGAGTGTCAACCCTAACTCCTTAGGAACTTCTCAGCTTCTAGTGCCAAAATTCACTGGATTTCATTCATCTTATTGATAGCATCCTCCCCCCCCCCCCCCCCCGACAGCTTTTCTGTGCTTGCCATGGACTGACTGCAATAGGGGAACATGATCTAAATCCATTCATGGACCGAGACTGTAGTCAACATATCCTTTGCACCCTGCAACACAAAGTAATTAATTAACAATTGTTGACTGCTGGGATGTGGGATATGGCGCTTTTAACACCCGAGGGGCACACAGCACCCAAGGTGAAGCCGAGGTTGCTGTGTGCCGTGAGGGGGTTACATATATCTCATATCACAGTAACATATCCCATATCGCAGCAATGATTTTTAGGTCAACTGTCAAGAAATGAATCGAATCACTGCTGCAGTGTAACCTTTTGATAATTGGGAGCTTTCCTGCCTTTGTTTACCATGTCTGTGGGCAGGATATTTGACCAGATGTTTGAAAGTCTCATGGAATCTCTCGCGAGATTTCAAAATGAAATGAAGGGATTAAATGAGAACTTACCTGTTTGAAATTTAATCCTGATTTTATGAGAAAGGGTGAGTGACAGATTTTGTGCCCTACTCTCCCACCCTTTTTCTATCAACAGCATCAGTTCTCTAAATTTATACCCTTTAGCATTAACATGGAACTTGGATTTTCTGGTCTCATATCCTTATGCCTTTAATAATAACTGCGCATGCACATGGCAGGATCTCACATAATGTCTCACTCACCCTTTCTCATAAAATCAGGATTAATTTTCAAACAGGTAAGTTCTCATTTAATCCCTTCAGTTTTATAGACTGGACATGTGGCCGTTCTTGACCAATGAAACCCCAGTATCCAAGTCATGATGTAACAATGAATGATTCTGAACACCTTGATTCCAGAATCGCGGCTCGAACTTTTCCCTGCAGCCCGGACACCCTAACGTCCTAGCTCCAGGGAAACGCTCCTACCACACCATCATTCCTTCCATGGTGACGGCTGCCGATACAGGCAGCCTATTGGCAACTTTTGGAGTCATGGCGAGTTTTATGCAGCCCCAAGGGCAGATACAGGTATGATGTGCTGTGACTTTTCATCAGACTAGTGGTATTCCTTTAATCTTTCAGACCGGTTGTGATTTGATTTTCTGATGTGTTCAATGTGCAAACGAAAGGGAGCACTTTGATGGAATTAGACAAAGTGACTATTATAATGTGACTTTCTAAAAGTATTAATTATATAATATCGGATGGCTTTGAGGTGGATACAAGAATATATTGCACGAGCTATGACAATATTGCACGAGTCGAAGGCGAGTGCAATATTGTCATTGCGAGTGCAATATCTTCTTGTATCCCCCGAAAAAAGCCATCCAATATTATTATTATCTATATCAGGCTGACTTGATTCGCAAGAAATACAGTTCAAGACACTGTCTTCATTTCTCCTTTTTCGTCAAACTAATTGGAGCTGCCCTTGTAATTATTGACATCAGTGCATGTATACCTGCACTGCTGCGCGCTGCATGCATGCTGCGTGGGTGTCCGTGTTCGACAGTACCGCGCGCTACGCTCTGTTGAGTGGTTGACAACTGTGAGTTTCTACGCTCTTGATCGTGCGGGAACCAGCGAAAATGCCTGGATGAGGGCGCGCCGGACAATATCAGAATTATTGCTGTCATCCGGGGACGTTTTACAAAAGCATAAAATGCGCATATCTATTTTTACCACTGGAAGCCTCATATAAATAATAATTGTTAATATTGAATGAGTGCGAGGAAATAAAAAATTGACCCGTAGTTATAAAGAAACTATTCTTGATCTGTCAGTTCATATAGTGACTTGTTTTCTCACTTTGTAGGTATTACTAAATATGTCCGAGTTTAGCATGGACCCGCAGAAGGCCCTAAACCAGCCACGGTTCCGTGTTGAAGTAGTGGAACAAGACGGCCTGACAGGTAAAGTGTTTCTTGAAGAAGGTTTCAGTGATGACATCATACAAGAGCTACGGACCATGGGCCACAATGTTGTGGGACCTGTGAAGGGATGGGACAGGCGAATATTTGGCAGGGGTCAGGTCATTACTGTGGGTGACTGGTACACTGCCAGAGACTCTGTAGGTAAGTCTCTGTATGCAGGAAGTGACTTTCGGGGAGACGGGTCACCAGTTGGATACTAAAGAAATTGTGCAACAGTGGAGTGTGTCTTATTAATGAGTGAAGTCATTTTGAGGAAAAAATAATTCAAGTGTGTGATGTACTCTATAATTATCTACATGAAATGAAAAAGAGGAAATATCAGCGCTACAGGTAAATGTATAAAGAATCATGTGAAGCTATGAAAGTAAAGATTTCATTAAATTAACTGGATTGGGATCTGGTAAATTCAAAGTCAATTTTTTTTTTCAATTGGGCTTCTTTTTAAAATTCAGTTTCTGGACAATTTATAAACGCTTTGTATGTTTTGTGTGAAAGTTATACATTTAAATGTCACTTCCGTGCTTTGTGTACATGGAGACTTCAGATTAAGAAAAATAATAATACCAGTCCAGTCTTCTCACTAAGACTTAGAACTTTTAAGAAATGTTACATTAAATTAAAATTTATTATTTTCATGAAAATATTCATCTAAAACAGGGTAATGTTCAATTACTGTTCATTCTAAAATTATTGTAAAATGTTTGATACTTATTTCCTGAAATCCTTACGTATATTTTATGCGTGGAAGTTAATTTCACTACATCCATACATAAATTATGTGTTGCATAAAATTGTTTTGGATAGGATTAGTTACAGATGTAAAAAATATATGTAAAATGTGATATTTAATAAACAACATAGGCCTACTGAGATTCTTAAAAAACTTTTGAGTGTGCATCATGAGTATTCACTCTTTGCAGGCGTTCTTATCTTAAGTGAATTTTCAGGAGTAATTTTTTTAACTACGACGGCATTGAAGCTTTGGAATGTCAGTTTTCCCCTCCTATAAGTATTGAATTTGACTGAATATTCATGTAATAACCGAATATTTATTCGTTTTATATTATTTCATGTGTAGAAAAATAATGTACAGTTTTGTTTGCACCAATCGAATCGGCGTCTTCGAAATGGAAAGAAAACATGTAGAAATATTATCTTCGCCGCAAAAATATCCTATTTTTACTGTTACCATGTGTAAAACCGATCAATATAGCTCGGGTTTCCATATAAATTTTGTTAAGAAATCCCCGCTATTTTTAGGGTCATTGATCGGTGAGAGCGGGCAAGACGACTAAAAATAACCGGCTATATTTGGACTGGGAAGCTGGTCTTGTCGCAAGTTGTCAGCCGAGAAATTAGCTGACATCCTAAATGGAAAGGATAAGTTGGAATGCGGGTTAAGCGCCTCGGATATGAAATAATTATAAGGTTATCTTGAAATACTTGGGCGGATATTTGATTACATCCCACTTGGAAAAAATAAACCGAGGATGAGCTAAGAAAGCTGGTGTTACCTCCAAAACATATTTTCTTGAGCGAGGCCGGCCTGATAAAATAAATCATTTGTTTATCACCCAGCAGTCGGTAGAAAAAAAAACGCCGTGGGAACTTGTTGGTATATCCATGCTCTATGGATATACCAACATCCATGTTCCTTGCTCTTTGGTATATCTTAAAGCCGTTTGCCACAAAATATAGATGCGTCGACAGTTTTAATGCCTCGAAATGCGTCGCCAAATTTGTCCGTTCGGCAGCAACAGTTTTCTCGGGTAACCTGTGTAGTGTTTTTATGTGCACTGCTTACATGTATGTGAACTGCCTTAAAGACTTTGTCTAGTGTATAGTCGTTGATTATATTATCGATTTTGAAAGTGAGTCCTCTCATGGTTTCATTTAAAGTTATCCCATATGTATTTAACTATTATATGTTACCGCGTAAACTTTGAAATTGAAAGTTTGTCATCACGTAATGTCTGACATTTTTGAGATTTTTTTCGATACGCCTACGCTTTGAAACAGATATTAATATGATGCTGACGCATTGATGGGGTCACTGTCCAGTTATTGGCGCTTTGAAAGGGTACCATTCACTATAAGTAGTATATTGAGGGTAATATGTTAAACATCTTTTCTAATAGCACGTGCTTTTGGAAGACGTACCGGTTCATTTCATCGCTTTAATTGTTTTAATCTTATCACATTCTTGAGATACACTTAGAGTATTCGATCACCACGTATATGATGTGAAGGAAAAGGACAGTGGATAGTATACATGCTTCATACAAACCCATAAACAAGGGACACATGTATTCACAATAATAATATACGCCTCTATTTATACTCGGTATGTTACATTTAATATAGTTGCTGACTTTTGCCATAACCTATAACCCCATATGTAATCTACTATAAAATATGGTAAACCTGTTCTGTTGACAAATTGACAGGTGCCAGGAACTATCGATTTGCTTTATGGACAGAAATAATCCCAGCTTATATAAACTGAAACCACACAGTTGTTATTTGAATGACGTTCATTGTTTTACAATGTTTTGTACATTTTGAATGTATCTATTTTCTTTTTGACAACGGGCAAAATCAGTTCTCGATCTGTATGATATTGTATTGCTATGGTTTTGATGTCGATGGATGATGGTACTGTTTTAATGCATGTCTGTAATTAATTATTTATTCATGATCGTTCAGACTAAGAGCGAAGCGCGTGTTCAATGAATATAGTTGTCTGTATCTCTTAAAATCCAATCGACCAGATTGCCTGTAATATCTAATGAAGAGAAAAATACAGGCTATTTTTCTGTTGCGTAATAATAAATGCAGTCATATAAAAGCCCATTGTAAAATCGTCATCTTATGCATGCAGCCGGTACACTCATGTGCAAGGGAGAGAGAGAGAGAGAGATTGAGGGAGGGGGGGGGGGTAGTTGGGATTAGGCCATTTGGAAATGTATTTCAGTTTCTAATAACTGATTTTCCACATTTTATAGAGTGCATGCTATCAATTGTTTTGTGTTTTCAGTTTGGAAATCTAAACGCATGCACGTAGCTGTTATTTCGTGTACAATTTTCTGTAGACTTTGTTTAAATATTCGCCGATCGTGTGAGTAAGTGTCCGTTTATTTTGTTTAGAAATGACAGGTTTTATAATGTGACAATAGGAAATTATTTAAAACATCAAAATTGGATGGAACATTTTTACATTTACACATATTCGGCTTGCTACTGTTGAGGTTTAAGTTAAAGTTAATTGGTCATGCCTTCATTCATGAAATAGGCAAAAAAATAAATAAAAAATACTTATATGAAATGGTAAAAAGCACGCTAAAAATGGGAATGCACAATATATTAATTCCTTGAGTTAACTAACGATAATTATTGACTTGAATCAAGTAAAAAAAAATAAGAAAAAGTCAAGAATGATGGGTTTCATTTTTGTAGGAATAAATATTAATTGGTAACAAAATACATTGGACAAAGTATTGTTTGCGGACACGTTGATGCTAAACAAGATTATTGATCGACTTGGCCGTAGATGCAAGCCATGCGTTAACCAAATACCCGCCTTGACGTCATAGCCTGACGCGGGCGAAGAGAGTACGCAAATTATACCCCAGCTAGCTAGCTGTCTACTGTCAGCTGAAGACGGCAGTGAGAGAGCGTACTGTGCACTACATGTAGTGTGTACACGCCACACGTACGCAGGCACGCGACCGGCTCGTGCCGATGAAAATGAAAAAAAAAACTACGCTGTGTAGAAAATAGCATCGTATAGTCCTGTATCGCAGATTTTTTATTCAGCTAGACTGTGGGGTGACCTCCCGTGCCCATCCCACTGTACACATCCCGACCTGCATCAGCTGAAAAACATCTACCGCCATAACGTCGTGAACGCATCCCGTGCGTACAAGAAGAAACCGCCGACATCTCATCCGCTTGTCACATTTAGAAGAGGAGGATTAGGTCCTATTTCCAACATCTGCTATACAGCGGGCAAGTGAAATCGGCTAGTATTTTAGCTTGACGATATGTGAGTGAAATAGAGCATTGACCAAGGTTGGTGTGTCTTTTACCTAACATGGAGGCAGTGATGTCTTAAGAGGAACTGTATTTTTTTGTACGTGGAGTAAAGCAACTGTAGTGGGGCCTAGTGGAGGGATTCGTGTAAACGCATCACGACGGGAAACATACACATTACTGTGGTGAATTCCCATCGTCTCTGATTCATAATAAGGTCGCCTACGCGTATATTATACGGCGTTTTTTTGCATGGTGTGGATATTTATGAGCTGGAACCGCGCTGGTAGATCGATCATCGGTAATGACAAGAGGAATGTCAGTCCGTTACTTACCACGACGATGATGATGAGGGTGATGATGATTTAGTCTGGCAGCCAGAGCTATGGAAAGACTGCTGTCTATGCCCGCAGACCAGACCCGCAGTATTCGAGGATAATAATGAACGCTATCTCGGTGACTAACCCCGATAACAACAACCTCAGCACAACGACCAGCGGCAAGATAGGAGGCGAGATCAGCAGTCGAATTGCGGCCGAGCAGGCCGGCTTGAAAGCCGGGGCTACCAAGGCGGGTGTGGTGGGAACAACCACGGACTCGGGAACTGCGACAAATCTGGACAATAACCGCCGAGGATCTGGCAACAATCCCAAGATGGACTCCTCAGAAATTGGTAAGGTGGTGGAAGGGAGTGAGACGGCACCTAAGAAGACTCTTATCAATGGAAAGGCAAAGAGGCCTTCCTTCAGCCGGATGATGAACGCAAAAAGCCTGAGCGAACTGATGCAAGATGAACACTTCTTGAAGAAACTCTTTGCCTGTTTTACTTCCTTTGAGAAATGCGTCCTGGCCCAGGTGTGTCACAAGTGGAAGGATATCCTCTACCATCCTCAATACTGGAAGCACATCATCCCCATAATTCATAAGAGGGACCTCTATGATGAAGCGGAGGATGGCCACAAGTCTTTCACCTCTCTTGTCAGCTTCGAGCAGCGGGGCTTCGAGTCCGTCTGCCTTGTCAGTGTCTCAGACCTGGACATCTGCGAGTTCATTGACCACTGCCCCAAGACTAAGAAGACTCTGAAGGCGGTCAGTCTGAAGCGCTCCACGGTCACAGACGCCGGTTTGGAGGTGATGTTGGAGCAGCTAGGATCTGTGGAATCTCTAGAGCTGAGCGGCTGTAACGATTTCACCGAGGCTGGCTTATGGTCTAGTCTCCAGCCCCGTATCGTCTCGCTCAGCATCAGTGACTGTATCAGTGTGGCGGATGAGAGTGTCGCAGCCGTAGCCCAACGTCTGCCCAACCTTAGAGAACTCAATCTCCAGGCCTACCACGTCACTGACAGCCTACTTGCTTACTTCCCGGCTAGACCCAACAGCAGCATGGCTATGCTGCGTCTGAAATCCTGCTGGGAGCTGACCAACCATGCTGTGGTCAACATCGTTCAGTGCCTGCCTCAGCTGAGCGTCTTGAGTCTCTCTGGATGCAGTAAGATCACGGATGAGGCGGTGGAGCTGATTGCTGAAAATATGAGCCAGCTGAAATCCCTGGATCTATCCTGGTGCCCAAGAATTACCGATTCCGCGCTGGAATACGTGGCCTGTGATCTTCCCAAGTTAGAGGAACTGGTGCTTGACAGGTAAGATCAGGTTTTCCCTTAATTAACTTTTGATGTGGAATTCGTATATAATTACTATTAAAGTTAAACATTACTAGGATTAGTCACAGTTTATGTACTCTTTATCGCGCACCAAAGTTCATGGCAAAGACAATTTTATACCTTGTTCGAGAAACTGGTGCGATATAGCATAGGCTATAGGTAAGGTCAAGGTAAACTTTGTTCGATCCATGCTCGGTCATGTGAAAATTACAGGAGAGGAAGTTACGATTATAGTGACGATTATCTAAGGGGAATTTTGTTTTATATCTTGCTGTAATTTTGTTATGGTGCCCTAATATCATTGTTGCGATATACTAAACAGCGTATACACATGGTAAAAAGATTCTGAACAAAATGCACGATAGGCAACGCAATAAATTATTGTACTGAAATTTGATTGATAACGATACCTGCGTGTACGAGAGCTCGGCAAACCAATCTGGCAATATCCATGATTTGGAAAATAACTTTAAAAGCCCGAATCCAGATTCTTTACACGTTTAAAAAAAATTCCTTCAGAGATGAGTAATCCGAAACCGCAGCTCCTCAATTTCTTCATTTTAGTTAAGGGTTCTTTTTTTTCAGCCCAAGGCACCCAGATCACAATTCCTTCTGATGGTTTTTCTCACCTGTCCCTATCGGAGGAACCCTATCCTCACGCGTACATACCACCATGGGCAGAATACAGACTCTCGTGTCAACGACGTGCGCGAACCCTCTCTGTGTTTCAGCGGGGGTGCCTTCTAAATTGAATTACCCGTTTGAAGGAAAACACACCAAGTGCTACTGGATTTTCTGGCGTGTTCGCACGTACGTTTAGAGCGCGTGCCTTGGATTGAATCGATTGCCTCCGGTGGAGACATTCAGAATGTTGTTAACATGAATCCCAACTAAACCTTTGCTCCATATCTTTTTTGAACAGTATTGACTAGAAGACGATGGAAACTGTGACGTCACACGAGGATGCTCGTGTTTCAAGCTTGATTTAAAATAAGACTGACCCGGGTCACTTGCCTGGTAAACTGCCGCAGTGCATTTATACGACTCTGGTACCAGTTACCTGGCTGTCCGTATGTATTTTTTTATCCGCAGGCGCACAAATGCATAATTAGCCAATATGATTATCATAAGCTGTGTACTCGTCTCGTACTACTCCTTGAATGAGCACGGGCCAGGAATCCAGTCTATAATCGATCCGAGGCGCTTCACACTTCGAATGTTTGTCTCTTTACACACTGCAAAGACCACGAACGGTACAATAACAGAAACGTTAAAGGCGTGAATCTCGGTGACAGTTTTAAAGGGAATATACAACATTTGCAAACATCGAAAAATAAAACTACCAAGTTTTTGCGAAATACCTTAATAGGATGTTGGTAAATGACAGTCTAAAGCATCCTGTAAAATTATGGCACCTGGTATACTGTCATTTTCAAGAAAAGTGGTATTTTTGTATCAATTTCCAACGCTGATCGGCCGATCAGCGTTGGAAACAACTGGCTTTTTTTTCAAATACTGGCCCCAATTGACCATTGCGCTTGTTTGCAATCGATTACAAACCTATGAACGGGTACGAGCCAGCTAGACTGGTTCCCTGACCTTACAATTCCCCAATGTATGTATACTGCTCAATTTCTTCTTATATGGAGTCAGGGAACCAGACTACAGGAAAATGATTGTTTTTCTTGGTTTTTATAGCATTTTCGAACCCAAAACCTCCAAAAAGTCAGTGTAACTATATTTGCTTGATATTTCCAACCCCCCAATTCCCTCCATTTCTGAAAATTACAGCAAAAGCAAATGATGTATATTCCCTTTAATTAAATTTTAGGCTGGCAAAATAAAGACTGTCTCTACCTTAGCACGAGATGAGAACAGTTACCGAATTGACAAAACACAACAGTGCTGAAGTATACTTCAATTTTTCTCTCGCTAATCAAGTAAAAACTGTGAATATTCAACTTTTTAAGGTCAAATTCAAAGTCTTCTTCATAAGTATTTGTTTATTTATTTGAATTGAGACACTGCTGCCCGTCGCTCCTAGAAAAAATCTTGCCAAAAGCGCAGCGCGTGCCCCACTGGGTCGACAGGCGGCACGCATCCAGAAAACCCCGAAATACCGGGCAATACAACACTACAATAAAAACCACTGAAAATACTAAATAAAAGTAAATACCACTAATTAATAACAGTAAAAGTAAAGTAACACTAAAAGTAAGGTAACACTAAAAGTAAATAACAGTAAATGCCACTTGGCCTTTCAGCAATATACCTGAACTAACAATGGCATGAATATTAAACTCCATGAAGCGAGAAAATTGGAGATTATATCAATAAAATTGTTTCCTTGGACACTGTAAAGGCTGAAACGAACTTACATGAGTGGAAGGCCGGGTTGAAGACGATATAGATGCATGGCTCGGTTGAAAGAAAAAGAAAAGGTTCGCCGTCTACCTTCAGCCACTTGAATATATAATTATGTAAAAGCTTAGCTACGTGGCAGCCTCGTTTTCATTTAAATATGGCACGGATTCCTTGAGGGTTGCAGACCAGCAAATGAACTGCCATTATGTAGCCCCGTGATAAAACAATACCCCCACTTTCAAAAATCAGAAGAAAAAAAATACTCAAAACTATCCAAGGTATTTGAGACACACGTCAATTAAAGTTTATTCATCATCTTAACTGTTTTTTTTTTTTTTTTTTTGGGGGGGGGGATGCTAATCCGATGACTTTTGGAAGAAATTTCCATCCTCACCCCTAAAATTAGACATGAAGCCCATTGCCATTTTGAAAAAAATGATGCCGTTATATACACTCCATTACAAAATAGAGCAATTTAAGGGCCCGATTTCAACAAAATTTCACAGAAATACAAACTCGCAGTCCGGCTTTCACCTTTGTTTTTTCCCCACAAACCCCTTCAGTTTATTGCCCACGACATGTGATGTTCTAATAGCAGAGAATATCCAATGCGAATCGTGATTTGGCCGGCGTAGGCAATTTTGGGCATATTCACTGCATGACCTGCAACCTGAAGAGCTATATCGAATTGGCTAGGCGTATACAATCATGTACTACAGCTAGGCGCAGTCACCACAATGATGTTACACGTAAACATCGTCGTCACCTAAAGTTGTTATTAAAATAAATTCAAGTTTACAATTATTTTAAAATGAAAGCGAATGACTTTCCGACACCAACTAGTTTGGAAATGCACCATACACCACTTAAAACTAATCATTGGATGCAGTTTGTTTTCCAAGAACGCGAGAAATTCAAAATTCAGGTGACAAAATACTATAGTTGCATTGACCAGTGCAAATATCGTAGCCTACTTCAATTTGCAATATTAACGCGCACTATATACAGACTGGTGACCCGACCGTATGTTTCGAAAGAACGTGATGTAGAAAACACTTAGTCACCCCAGAGCCAACATTATCAAGGGGCAGGGTTTCTAAGAATAGAGTCTTAATGTATTGACGACAAGCAGGAAACTGCCAGCTGAGGGGAACAAATATCTTGATTATAGCCACCAAGCAAGCCACAACTCGTCTTCAATTTACCGGGCGCTGCTTGCAGACCAACCTCCCGGGACTTCAAGCGAAGATGTCCCGGCAAGATTCACCGATTGCAGATTGGTAAATTAACACCTGTCCGAAGGCACGAGTTGTTTGTGTGCTTTCCATCTAGTGTCGATGACAGGGGACTTGAGGTGGTTTGGGGAGTTCGTTGGCATTTTGGTGCAGGCCTGTTTCCTTTGGCAAACTATCAGTTTCTTACAGGTTCAATTTCAGAGAAAGGATTGCATGCAGGACTTGTTGCTGTGACTTTGCATTTTGTGAATGATGCCGAGGAATCTTATTTAATTAATTAAATCAGCTTGGTGGTCATGACTTGCGGTTTTAGCTGACAGTATTTTATCATAATTTACATTGTGGGTAAAAATCAACATCTCATAATTTGATGTATTCATAATTTCATAAATTTAAATCTGAATGAATGCTAAGGGCCACATATTTTGGGAGCTTTCACGAAACTTGTTTCTAAAATTTAGATTTTTTTTATCATCAGCTAAAACTTACCTCCGTAATAAGCGACTTCGTTTATTGTATTAAAACAATCCACAAATTACAATTCATAATTTCATGGATTCATAAATTCATGGATTCTGAAATTAAAATCACTTATTGGAGTTAATGCGTCCATATGCCTAAAACAAAAGATATGGGGAGCTTTTAAGAAAATTGCTTTAAAAACTTAGTTTTGTTAATCATAGATCTTACCTCTGCAATTTTGTGACTTTTACTTTACTGAAGACGACCTACAAAAGTTCCCCGTTTTGTGTAAACAAACATTGCACTTTTCAATATTACACTCACCAGAATTCCCGTTTCATATATTTGAAAAAGTCCGAAATGTTAGAAATTGTTGACTTTGCCACCAGAAAGCATCATTTAAACCGTATCAATCAAGATTCATATTATCAAAACAAACATGACATACATCTCTTCTTGATGGACCGTTCTCTTTGATTTAATATCGATTAATGATTAATGCGCACAGTTCTCTTGTTTTTGTTTCCCTCTGTTTCCCCCTGGAATCATGAAAGTGATTCCGGGCGCCATGTTTGCTATATTGGGACACATTTGAAATGTCACACATGGTTAAAATGTCACCTGATTTGACGGCCTCGGGTTTTTACTTTCTAACGACAAGGAGAGAGTCAAGCAAAGTCAATTGAAAAATGTTTTTAAATTCTTGGTTATTTTTTTTTTTGATCCGGAGATTGCGTGCTACAAGGTGAAGAGATCGCTTAAAGAGGCAATCTCGTCGTGAGTTTGAGGTGGAGAACAGCGCCTCCTTCGACACTGTGTTTTTCCCATGGTGTCATAAGTCATGATTAACTAACTCCCTTTACAGTTTCGTGACCGCAAAATAACATTTTTATTGTTGTTGCTCGTGTGAACTTAAAA